TTTATGGCAAATGGCTGGTTTAAATAGGTAAATTATCAATTTATTTTAAAAAGTCAGCAGTTTTGACATATTTGCTTATGAAGTGGCTTTATTGACCGAAGCTGAAAATCAAGCCAAAAATGGCCAAAACATTTAATATTATATTATAATTATATCCAATGATTTCTTTTGGGATTGTTGCCTTCAATGTGAATATCTCCTATGTATGCAACTACATTATGAATTTGGTTGAAATCTGTTGACCCCCACCTTGCCACCCTCTGACTGGTCTTATCATGGACACACACTTAAAATTAATCATATGGCACTTCTTTTTAGAACCCAGTGTCTCAGTGTCCTACAAGCCTTGCCTGAGCATTCAATAAACTTGCAATCTAAGAAAAAAAAACTCACTAAACTATGAAAAGAAATATATAAATTCCATATAAATTGGCATTATATATATAAGAATATTCTTCAATGATCTTTGTGTGTCATGTGCATGTTATAGAAGACTGGTCCCCTAATGCAAACTTCCCTATTTCAAAATATGTTCTTCAACAATCAGCAAGTGATATTACTGACTATAGGACGAGGTAGACCTAAGAGCATATGGTGATAGACAATTCTTCAATATTTTTTTTTACATTTACTGTCTTAAAGCTTTTCATATCCATAATATAAATGGTGCAGTCTTAGCAGTGATAATGTAACCTTAAGCCAGAGTTATCTCCCATTTAGTGCACAGTAATGGGTGGGGTGTTGGTCTCCCCACTCCCTCCTGCATTCAGCGGAATCCCTCTCTTTGGGATGTAGGGGGTGACACGAGGAACCATCTTGATGCAGTCAATGATGGGACACACTGATACACAAAGGGTGCAGCCTGAAACACAAAAACAATGAGTCAACTTCTTTTGCCGGTTAGTGAAAACAGTATAATGACCAGTAACTTGTATGTCAAACAAGAGCTCACGAGGGGCAATTCAATTCCCATACTGACGATCAAAAACAACATAATACCTTACAAGTAAATTACACACAAGACTTATATTACAAAATGGCCCAATGTACAATTCACATGACATATATCAGGTAGTGTTCTTACCAGTGCAGTCATCTGTTACTTTAGGCAGATGAGTCTCTGGATCAAAGGTAATGGCCTGGTAACCAGAGTCATTACAAGTCATATAACACTTGCCACAGTTGATACACATCTCCTGGAACAGAAATTATTATGTGTCAGAAAACACGAGTCCACCACTCATCTCAATGAGGATAACTAATTGAAGGCAGAGAAATTAACCTGTATTCAATTAAGGAATGCTATTTTAATCACCTGTATTATACTGGCCACAGACTGCTGCTTGTTGTCCAGATCACTGTAAGCACCAATCATGGGAAGAGCTTTGCCTATCATGTCCTGTAGTCAGAATACATTATATAAATAAAAAGTTACACTTTAAATAAAATATTTTGAAGAGATCTATGGTATAATGAATTATAACATCTAACTTTTTTTAGTATAGATGTAGTCAACTGGACTACCTAATATTATTCTAAAAAGACTCTCTACTTTAACGACTGAAATTGTGTTATCTTGTAACTTCTCTCCTTACTTACTTGAACAGTGGGAACTGCTCCCTTTGGGCTGTTTGCTGGTCTGATAGGTGGCGGCAAAAACTCCTCATCCAAAAGATCAATTTTCCTCTTCTCCTCAGCAAAAACTGACATCTTCTGCTTCTTGTAAGGACCAAAGTTAGGCAAAGTCTGAGGATCAAAAATGGAGTATAAGACACACATAGTTAATATCACAATACAAGTATGTTCTTCTTATATCATTTGACCAACTGACAGGGGTTGTAGACTGGTAGTGATGTGATAATATCATCTTGACAGCATATAGGTTTAGCATGTGCATAGGTGAGCATGTTGTGTCTGCATGTGAGCACATGTACGTGTGCATGCATATGTTACCTTCCCAATGATGTCTGCCACCTTCAACACAGGTTTCCCCAGCTGGTGGACAGGGGTTGGTGGACTTTGACCTTCCCAGTCCTTCAGATCCAAGCTCTGTAGATACAACAGGGCTTTCAATCCAGTAACATAATCGTCAATCAATGTGAAGTCCTGGTTCTGGACAGCACTGCAAACCTGGGGACAAATAAAAAAGGTGATCAATTATCATTATATTATACCCAGTATACAACAGAATACTGACAATTATGACTTAAACTATTTGCTAAATTTCTTTCTCTTGCCAAGCCACTTCTAGACTAAAAGCAAGAATAGAGATCTCAATCTCTTTGTCCTAAAAGACAAACTCACCTGCAGTACTGATGCCCCTGCATACAAGAACTGCATCCCTGCATCTGCTGAATCAATCCCTCCAGTGGCAAGAATAGGAAAGCCTGGCAATGCATTGGCAATAGCGGACACAGCACGCAAAGCAATGGGGCGAATGGCATTGCCTGATACACCTCCGTAAGTGGTTCTCTTTTCCTTTCCAACACGTGGCCATCCACCAGCATCCATCTTTATCCCCATCAGACCAGATACAGTGTTAGTGGCAGTGACTCCATCAGCATTACCTAAAATAACATATAATTCATTGCAAATTTCAGAAATGACCGATTTATGACAATTGTAAGAGGATAAAAAATCATGCCCTTAGGTGTCCCCAAATCATCTGAAAATATAGCAGTAAAACATCCATTTTGATATTAAGTTATAGGTAATAGTTTTTCACGTTTGTGTATTAACTGATTTAATAAATCCATTCAATACATACCTTCTTTAGCAGCTCTTGCTATGTCCACAATATTTGTGATATTTGGTGTCATCTTTGCAAAAAAAGGTATCTTCACAACGCTGTGAACCCAGCGACAGATGTTACGCACGAGTTCTGGATCCTAGCATGTAAAAAGACAACCATTTTTGATGAAGGTCTTAAACTCCAATTACATATTTCATAGTGGAAAAAAATTATAGTTTTTTTTTAATTTTAAGTCCACTTTTGAATAAATGGTTAACAGTGCCACCCTGCAAGCAAAAGATAACTCATCTATCATTATGCCAGACCCACGCTATGCCCCCCTTTGTCATAAGGACAATAAGGGTAACTCACCTGTCCACATGCCAGGCCCATGCCACGCTCTCCCATGCCATGAGGACAAGACAAATTCAGCTCCAATGCATCAGCACCTGCCTCCTAAAAATAACGAACAATTCCAAATACAGTTTAGGGATGTCATTTTTTCAATAACCACATTTGTAAAATCTGTTAATATGTTATTTGAGTATCATTCAGGGGAAAGGGAAAACTGTCACCAATGAAAATATATACAGAGTGATTTTGGTGTTGCTTCTCACTTTATTACAAGTAATGCCAAAGACTACTGGTTATTACAGACCAACTCACCTCAGACATCTTAGCCAGCTTGCACCAGTCTTCCTTATTGTAGCTGCACATAATACTTGCAATGATAATCTGAAAACATACAAAAGGAATTCATTACATGAACCCCTACTATTTATTGTAAGAAAAAAAGGTTAATTTTTTATTGAATCTTTTATTCTATCATAATAAGGAGAAGTCATTCCAATTTTTACATCAGCTTTGATTAATACAAACAGTCCTGCCTGCAAACTGTCAAGGAAGAGAAGTCCATACATACCCTATCAGGAAAGTCTTTCTTGAGTTCAGTGACAGTCTGGCACCAGTATGCAGCAGTCTTCTCACTAATCAACTCGATATTCAGGAAAGCTCCCTGTCCTGGACCATATATATGACCAGAGGTGGTGCCACGAACTATTCTGGGAGACACATTGGTCACAATGTCCTAGGATGAAATGTGACAATAAGCATGGAAATGACACTGCATAAACATAACACAATTGGGGTGACTTCAAACATTCTTTCCTAAAATGTACATACATATGTATCTTTTTCCCAGATAACCTTGTTATTGAAAATGAAACATAATAAAGCATTTTGTAACTTTACCTTGTCCAGTGCATATGTCTTTGTTAAAGCAAATCCCCATCCCTGTTCAAATGCCCTGCGTATCATGGGAGCACTGGTGGTTGGAGGAGCACTTGCTAGGCCAAATGGGTTGACAAATTTCAGTCCACACATTTCCACACTGACATCCACCAAGTCAATGGGAGTGTAGAACTTGGGGAGTGCAGGTTCAACTGGGATCAACACACCTGCCAGGGACTGTAATAAAATTGAGACAGAACTAAAAAAAGTTATAGTTATCCTTGAAATATTGATAATAAAACACTGAGATGAATGTATGAAGGAACAAATAAGAGCTAAAGCTACAATTCATAAACTCAACAATCTTCTCACCTGCAGGTACTTATGTATGTGCCATGATGCTTGCTTCCCATCATTTGTAGACTCCACAGTAGTCTGAGCCACTCCTGCTAAATCTCCACCACAGTAAACTCCTTGCTCAGAGCACGCCATGCTTTCTGGATCCACTTCAGGGAGACCCCAGCGGTTGAACTTAATGGGTGACATGGCTTTGATCACTGAAACCAAATACGTCAGTTCAACTACCTATTATTATGATATTAGTACTTATCTATGTATGGAATACTCTTTGCTGATTCAGAAATAATTATTGGAATATAACAACTTATAAATAGATAATCTACTCTAAAGCTGTGCCTCACCATCATCTTCAGTGAGTCCTGACCCAAATGCAGAGATGACAAAGTCTGTCTTCAGCCTCACTGTCTGTTCCTTGTCCTCCACCCAGTTCCCATCTTCATCCTGTTCTGTTCGGTAGAACTGCATTCCTGTGATTCTACCATTCTTCACTGTCACTTCAGCAGGGGCATGGAACGGGAGGAACTCACACTTCTCTTCCTTGGCCAAGTCCATCTGCAGGATGAATTGTCATGCTTTTTTCTCAAAATTAATATCGCCTCATGCAATATGTAGAATATCTTTCTAATTGGATAAATAGGTTGATTAAAAGAACACAATAGGGAGCTAAGATGGTCAAAAAATTTTCTGATGTCTATAACATCCATATATTCAACCAGCTGCTTATGATAGGGTTTATACAGTTCATGGATGAGAATAAAACCCACCTCTTCAGGTACAGCTCTGATGTTGGTGAAGCCCTTGCGGAAGATAACAAACACTTTTCTTGCTCCACATCGCAGGGCAGAGGTGGCACAGTCAAATGCTGTGTCACCAGCTCCGAGGACTATGACGTTGCCATGGAGACTTGGAAGCTGGGATTTACAGGCACACATTCCTTGAAATAGTGAATTGTAATTTTAACTTTTTACGAAAGTTCACCCATTCCATACTACAATAAGGAAAGTAAGGGAAACTAAGATATATCTAGTTTTCAGGGGGAAAATGTAACAGCTGTCAGCCTGATTATCACAGGTTTAAGAGACATTCAGAACAGTGCACCCCGTTTGCTATCAACTCTAATAATATAAGATCTTGCTGCACAATATGAAACGAGAGCATACATGAAAAACTATTCATCAAAGTCTTTGTGCAATTAATTTTAATGTTTAAAAGAATACTGTATGAAACACTCCCTTAAAGAAATAAATTTACCAGGTTTGCTGGCAGCAGCTACTTTTGGGAGAAAACTTTTTGATGTGTAGAATCCCATGTCCTCTGTTAAACCATCAAATATTGGAATTTTCTTTGGGTTTGGTAAACCTAAAATTTCACAATTTTATAATGTATTTGAAACTTCAAATTTGTCTTATCAATTAACATATGTACAAAACAATACAAAAAACTAGTGTCAATTTTACCAAATGTAGAAAGCAATATTTCGAAAAAAAAGTGTTTTAATAGCTACATGCCTAACAAAAAGAAAAGATGTTTGTTTTGCCAGATTTATGTGCTTGAAACAGAGAGAGAGAAATTACCCATTCCCAAGAAAATGACTTTGTATCCATCTTCCTTCAAGGATTGGATTGTGAATCCATTGGAAGCACTCAAAGGGGTGTCACACACAATCTACACAATACATGTTATACAGATCAAAGAAACTGAAGAACGCTAAAATACAGGATTAATAAAATCACAATAAGACCAAAACAACAAAAGTGCGGAAATTATTAATAAACAATGTTATGAATAAAGCACACAGATATAAGGGACCGTTCACAACAAATTTTAGCAGCTAACTACTGCCCACTGACTCCACAGGGACTTTTACTGAATGCAATCAGAACAACACTCCTCCTCCTGACATTGAGAAGAATACACAAATGCTGGTGGTTGGAAACAAGAGGAGCCATGTCAGTCTGTTAATCTAATTGCATTCAGCAATAGTCAGTGTGCAGCAGCTAGGTTAAAAAATTCATAAACTTTGAAATAAAATCTTTACTCCAAAAACCAAAATGTAATCATGTAAAGAAGCCAAGCTCCTATAATACCTTAACACCTAGGTCCCTCATGAGTTGAATTTCAAAATCAATCACTTCATAAGGCAGGCGATACTGAGGAATCTCAGAGGAGCTGAAAACAAAAAGTTTTCAAGGGAGTAGCAACCAACACCCGGGCCATGGAAAATACTTTCCTGTCCATGCAAAAGTACATCGCCAAATACAATGCTTGCACATTTTTCTCCATGCAATCCCCACCATGTATGAACCATTTTATAGCATGCAAATCCTTAAAAAAACCCTTTCTTACAACCTTTTCAAAATGCATAGAGATCACATAAACCAAAGCACACCATATATTTTTGTTATTAGAAACAATGCAAAAAAAGTGCTAAATACTGCAATTTTTCAGAAACATATCCCACATCTTATTAATCAATACCTTAATCCACCGATATATTTCTGTTTCTCAAAGATGGTAATAGCAGAGTATCCCATCCTGGCTAAGAAAGTAGCACAGCTGATACTTGCAGGGCCACATCCAATCAGAGCAATCTTCTCATGATAACTGCTTGGTAACTGTTCCAAGGCTGGAAGGCTGGGGTCTCTGATCTGGGGAATCTTCATGTCCTTGAACACCTAGCCAAAATATGGCAACAGAAAATATATGTTCATTTTCTCTTTATCAACCAATTAAAGAGCCCAGGATTAAGGATGAGATCAAATCAATTAACATCTATTTATATCTATATAAATATCTATCTATCCATTATACATGCTTCCTTCAAAAAAGAGATTGTTGATGATAAAATACATTAATGCCTAAATGATATTCAGGTTCAATACATTTTTAAAAAATCATTATAAATAAAAAAAGTTTTAAAAATCAAAAACATTTCAAGCCTTTTTTATCCAACAAGAAAGAACACTAGCTTTACCTCCACAGCAAACTGCTGCAAGCCCCCAATATTGATGGGTCCCTCTTCAGAAGCGTACAGGTTGCATCCACCCACACACAAGTCACTGGTTGGACACACCATGCCACAACTTAAACCCAGTGGGTTGTCTGACAGGATAGCCTTGGCAGCTCCATAGTAGTTCTGGAATATAGATTGATGACACACACATATTTTACAAGCTCTTACATAGCAAATACTGTGCTGAATCTTCAGATGAGCTGTGTGCACTTACTTTGTTGGCAATACTGGTGATGAAGTACTTGATGTCCAGTTGTGTTGGGCAGCTTTTCTGGCAAGGGGCATCTGCGCATTTCAGACATCTAAAAAGTGCATCAGTAAAGTTTATTACATATTTATATGCAAATCATATTAAATTTACAATGAATACTGCTCAGAATGAATTTTCAACTTTTCCAAGAAAACTGAACCTAAGTTAAAAATTTAGTTGTACATCTTCAACACCCAGTATTTTCAAAACAACACCATCTGAAAGTAAACAGTTTGGGGCTTAGTTAAAACCAAAACCACACAATTTCCACAACAGCAATACTTGAATCAACAACTCATGTTTGTCTCAGTTTCTTCTACAAGATGTCATGATTAACTAAAGAAATTCAATAAATATACACTGCTTCTCTGTAAATTGGATAAAGAATTTTGCAGGTGGCCATAATTTTGGATGCTTTTGTTTTAGAATGTAATACAGTTGTTGTATGTTAACAGTGCTTTGAATGTGCCAGCAAGTAAAACTGCTTGCCAGTAGGTACCACTATTAATCACAGGGCTCTATATATATACAAGTCAATTTTTAAAATGTACATGAACTAGCATGTGATAAGAAGCCATTATTACCTGGCTGCTTCTCTCAAAGCACCCCTTTCACTCAAAGTTGTGTGCTTGATGTCATCAAAGTTATTTTCCAGTGTTGAACATGTCTAGAAACAAAAAAATCCTTTTGTATTAAAAAGCAAAATTTCAGCATTCCAAAAAGAAATATATATAACAAAAATATATAATTATAAATAAATAAATTAATAATAAAAGGTACCATTCCGTAAAAATGAAAAAGAAAAAAATCACTACATATAAATTGCTTAAAGAATGGTTANAACTGTTGGTCCGTCGGCACTTGCCTCAGTCATGTTACCCACTCATGTTGCCCCGAGTAGTCTGAAGAAGTCGGTGAAATAGATAAGTAATGCAATGATATCATCCTTGTATCTATTTTGTGGGGCGTTTACTTATATTGCCTTACATGTATAGTCCATACTGCAAATGTGTGTCGCCTTATCTACTATTTGCCCAACCTGTACACAAAAGGCTGCAATGGTAGACCATCTTCTTAACCTCTGTATTCTTCCATTTGGCGTAATTTACGTTATTTTTGAAAATCGGGATATATCTAAACCAACTTATTACCTCGGACAATGGAAGAGGTAATGTTTTTGTCACCGTTAGTGGGTTTGTCTGTGGAGAGCATTACGCAAAAAAGAAATAAGTGGATTTTAGTGAAATTTTCAGGATAGGTCACAAATTGCCCTAAGATTTGATTTTGATGAAGATCCACTGATTAAATTAAGTAATTTATTATTTAAAGATTTTAATGAAATTTTCAATTAGGTCAGAAATGGGTCGGGTAAGTAATGATTAGATTTCGGTTATGATCCATTTATTTATCAAATTAATTATTTAATGCAAAAATTTTCAGGATAGGTCAGAAATGGACCAATTTTATGAAATTTTCAGGAAAGACAGAAATGGATTAAGAAAGAGATGATTAGATTTTGCTGATGATCCATGAACTAATTATTTAATTGATTTATAAATAAATAAATAAGTAATTACTTATTTGTCTTGGCAGAGGTTGTGCTCCCCGAGTGCTATTCAGGTAATAAAACTTTTTGTCTGAGAGCAATCATGGATAAAAATGTACTAATACAAAAGCTATTTTATGTACAAAATTAAAAAATAAACTATAAATATCTTCGTCTTAGACTGATATATATTTCTAATCAAAAAATTATCACAAACACAAATTATCCTCAATGCAATCGAAATGTGCAGCATGGATGCCATAAAAAATAAAATGAACTGTATTAAATACAGAAGAATTACAGTCTCTCATTTCCTTGTTGATGGCAAACTCCAATACCATATACATAAAAACACAGTTACATAAGGAACAGATCGCCTTTTTTTATTTCAGTTTTATTATGTGTCTACATTTTATTGCTGTGATATGTAAGAAATATATGACCTAATGGTAATGAATCTGCAATCACATACATTATCACTCTATTTTGATTCTCTACAGTCCTGAGGCGAGGCAGTGATTATTGTAAAAATCGGTCACACAAGGCTTGCTGCTATCCAATATTAAAACAACTATGTGGAAAGGTGGGGATAGGGTGGGTTTTTACTTTATCCATATTTGACCTTAGCCCCCTTTCCTTCTAAAATAAAATCATACTATAACTAAACAGTAATTTTCATAATAATAAGCATCATAATTTGATTAATTGTAAAAAATAAAATGTCTGGATATCAAGTGCATACATGTGCAAAATTTTTATAGAATTTAGGAAAACCAGTGTTTGATATGTGAAGTAATCATTTCAGAACAAATACATATAATGATTAATACCAAATGTATATATGATTATCATAATAACAATAATGCAAAAATTAAAATATATTCTAGATCAGCCTATAAGTACTTATTGATCATATGTAAAATAAAAGTTCTGTATATGAATAAATCCAATAAATACTCTAAAATACAAATGTATTCAGTAGTGCTGCACCACTATATACTTTGGCGTTTAATAAACTTATCCCATTTTAGCACCTGTTAAGCATTAAAATTAATCATATGGCACTTCTTTTTAGAACCCAGTGTCTCAGTGTCCTACAAGCCTTGCCTGAGCATTCAATAAACTTGCAATCTAAGAAAAAAAAAACTCACTAAACTATGAAAAGAAATATATCAATTCCATATAAATTGGCATAATATACATAAGAATATTCTTCAATGATCTTTGTGTGTCATGTGCATGTTATAGAAGACTGGTCCCCTAATGCAAACTTCCCTATTCCAAAATATGTTCTTCAACAAACAGCAAGTGATAGTACTGACTATAGGACGAGGTAGACCTAAGAGCATATGGTGACAGACAATTCTTCAACTTTTTTTCATACATTTACTGTCTTTAAACTTTGCATAGCCATAATATAAATGGTGCAGTCTTAGCAGTGATAATGTAACCTTAAGCCAGAGTTATCTCCCATTTAGTGCACAGTAATGGGTGGGGTGTTGGTCTCCCCACTCCCTCCAGCATTCAGCGGAATCCCTCTCTTTGGGATGTAGGGGGTGACACGAGGAACCATCTTGATGCAATCAATGATGGGACACACTGATACACAAAGGGTGCAGCCTGAAACACAAAACAATGAGTCAACTTCTTTTGCTGGTCAGCAAAAACAGTATAATGACCAGTAACTTGTATGTCAAACAAGATCTCACGAGAGGCAATTCCATTTCAATACTGACCATCAAAAACAACATAATAACTTATCCTTTACAACTAAATTACACACAAGACATATATTACAAAATGACCCAATGTGCAATAAACATGATGTATATCTGGCCTAAGTCTTACCAGTGCAGTCATCTGTTACTTTAGGCAGATGAGTCTCTGGATCAAAGGTAATGGCCTGGTAACCAGAGTCATTACAAGTCATATAACACTTGCCACAGTTGATACACATCTCCTGGAACAGAAATTATTATGTGTCAGAAAACACGAGTCCACCACTCATCTCAATGAGGATAACTAATTGAAGGCGGAGAAATTAACCTGAAATCAGTTTAGGAATGCTATTTTAATCACCTGTATTATACTGGCCACAGACTGCTGCTTGTTGTCCAGATCACTGTAAGCACCAATCATGGGAAGAGCTTTGCCTATCATGTCCTGTAGTCAGAATACATTATATGAATAAAAGGTTACACTTTAAATAAAATATTTTGAAGAGATCTATGGTATAATGAATTATAACATCTAACTTTTTTTAGTATAGATGTAGTCAACTGGACTACCTAATATTATTCTAAAAAGACTCTCTACTTTAACGACTGAAATTGTGTTATCTTGTAACTTCTCCCCTTACTTACTTGAACAGTGGGAACTGCTCCCTTTGGGCTGTTTGCTGGTCTGATAGGTGGTGGCAAAAACTCCTCATCCAAAAGATCAATTTTCCTCTTCTCCTCAGCAAAAACTGACATCTTCTGCTTCTTGTAAGGACCAAAGTTAGGCAAAGTCTGAGGATCAAAAATGGAGTATTAGACACACAGAGTTTATATCACAATACAAGTATGTTCCTCTCATATGATTTGATCAACTGACAGGGGTTGCAGGCTGGTAGTGTGGTGATGATCACCTTAACAGCATTAAGACATAGCATGTGCATGAGTGAGCATGTTGTCTGCATGTGAGCACATATATGTGTGCATGCATGTATATTACCTTCCCAATGATGTCTGCCACCTTCAACACAGGTTTTCCCAGCTGGTGGACAGGGGTTGGTGGACTTTGACCTTCCCAGTCCTTCAGATCCAAGCTCTGTAGATACAACAGGGCTTTCAATCCAGTAACATAATCGTCAATCAATGTGAAGTCCTGGTTCTGGACAGCACTGCAAACCTGGGGACAAATAAAAAAGGTGATCAATTATCATTATATTATACCCAGTATACAACAGAATACTGACAATTATGACTTAAACTATTTGCTAAATTTCTATCTCTTTCCAAGCCATTTCTAGACTAAAAGCAAGAATAGAGATCTCAATCTCTTTGTCCTTAAAGACAAACTCACCTGCAGTACTGATGCCCCTGCATACAAGAACTGCATCCCTGCATCTGCTGAATCAATCCCTCCAGTGGCAAGAATAGGAAAGCCTGGCAATGCATTGGCAATAGCGGACACAGCACGCAAAGCAATGGGGCGAATGGCATTGCCTGATACACCTCCGTAAGTGGTTCTCTTTTCCTTTCCAACACGTGGCCATCCACCAGCATCCATCTTTATCCCCATCAGACCAGATACAGTGTTAGTGGCAGTGACTCCATCAGCATTACCTAAAATAACATATAATTCCTTGCAATTTTCAGAAACAACTGATTTATGACAATTGTAAGAGGATAAAATATCATGCCCTTAGGTGTCCCCAAATCATCTGAAAATATAGCAGTAAAACATCCATTTTGATATTAAGTTATAGGTAATAGTTTTTCACGTTTTTGTATTAACTCATTTAATAAATCCATCAATACAAACCTTCTTTAGCAGCTCTTGCTATGTCCACAATATTTGTGATATTCGGTGTCATCTTTGCAAAGAAAGGTATCTTCACAACACCGTGAACCCAGCGACAGATGTTACGAACGAGTTCTGGATCCTAGAATGTAAAAAGACAACCATTTATGACAAAGGACTGAAACTCCAATTATATTTTTATTGTGGAAAAAAATCTAGTTTTTTTTTTTTATAAATTTTAAGTCCAGTTTTGAATAAATGGTTAACAGTGTCACCCTGCAAGCAAAAGATAATTATCTATCATTATGCCAGACCCAAGCCATGCACCCCTTTGTCATAAGGACAATAAGGGTAACTCACCTGTCCACATGCCAGGCCCATGCCACGCTCTCCCATGCCATGAGGACAAGACAAATTCAGCTCCAATGCATCAGCACCTGCTTCCTAAAAATAACAGACAATTAAAAATACAGTTAATGAATGTCATTTTTTCAATAACCTCATTTGTAAAATCTGCTATGTTCTAATTTAAGTATCATTCAGGGGAAAGGGTATAATGTCACAACTGAAAATATATACAGAGTGATTTGGGTGTTGTTTCTCACTTCATTACAAGTAATGCCAAAGACAATTGGTTATTACAGACCAACCCACCTCAGACATCTTAGCTAGCTTGCACCAGTCTTCCTTATTGTAGCTGCACATAATACTTGCAATGATAATCTGAAAACATACAAAAGGAATTCATTACATGAACCCCTACTAATTATTGTAAGAAAAAAAGGTTAATTTTTTATTGAATCTTTTATTCTATCATAATAAGGAGAAGTCATTCCAATTTTTACATCAGCTTTGATTAATACAAACAGTCCTGCCTGCAAACTGTCAAGGAAGAGAAGTCCATACATACCCTATCAGGAAAGTCTTTCTTGAGTTCAGTGACAGTCTGGCACCAGTATGCAGCAGTCTTCTCACTAATCAACTCGATATTCAGGAAGGCTCCCTGTCCTGGACCATATATATGGCCAGAGGTGGTGCCACGAACAATTCTGGGAGACACATTGGTCACAATGTCCTAGTATGAAATGTGACAGTAAACATGGGAATGACACTGCATATACAGAAAACATGTCCTTTCTCCACAATTGGGATGACTTCAGATGTTCTTTCCTAAAATGTACATACACATATCTTATAAATTTCCCCCAGAAAACCTTATTATTGAAAATGAAACATAATAGAGCATTTTGTGACTTTACCTTGTCCAGTGCATATGTCTTTGTTAAAGCAAATCCCCATCCTTGTTCAAATGCCCTGCGTATCATGGGAGCACTGGTGGTTGGAGGAGCACTTGCCAGGCCAAATGGGTTAACAAATTTCAGCCCACACATTTCCACGCTGACATCCACCAAGTCAATGGAAGTGTAGAACTTGGGGAGTGCAGGTTCAGCTGGGATCAACACACCTGCCAGGGACTGTAATAAAATTGAGACAGAACTAAAAAAAGTTACAGTTATACTTGAAATATTGATAATATTACACTGAAATTAATGTATGAAGGAACAAATAAGAACTAAAGCTACAATTCATAAACTCAACAATTTTCTCACCTGCAGGTACTTATGTATGTGCCATGACGCTTGCTTCCCATCATTTGTAGACTCCACAGTAGTCTGAGCCACTCCTGCTAAATCTCCACCACAGTAAACTCCTGGCTCAGAGCATGCCATGCTTTCTGGATCCACTTCAGGGAGACCCCAGCGGTTGAACTTAATGGGTGACATGGCTTTGATCACTGAAACCGAATATGTCAATTCAACCACCTATTATTATATTAGTACTTATCTATGTATGGAATACTCTTTGCTGAAATAATTATTGGAATATAACAACTTATAAATAGATAATCTACTCTAAAGCTGTGTCTCACCATCATCTTCAGTGAGTCCTGACCCAAATGCAGAGATGACAAAGTCTGTCTTCAGTCTCACTGTCTGTTCCTTGTCCTCCACCCAGTTCCCATCTTCATCCTGTTCTGTTCGGTAGAACTGCATTCCTGTGATTCTACCATTCTTCACTGTCACTTCAGCAGGGGCATGGAACGGGAGGAACTCACACTTCTCTTCCTTGGCCAAGTCCATCTGCAGGATGAATTGTCATGCTTTTTTTCACAAAATTAATATTGCCTCATGCAATATGAAGAATAACTTTCTAATTGGATAAATAGGTTGATGAAAAGAACAAAATAGGGAGCTAAGATGGTCAAAATATTTTCTGATATCTACAACATCCATATATTCTACCAGCTGCTTATGATAGGGTTTATATAGTTCAAGGATAAGATTAAAACCCACCTCTTCAGGTACAGCTCTGATGTTGGTGAAGCCCTTGCGGAAGATAACAAACACTTTTCTTGCTCCACATCGCAGGGCAGAGGTGGCACAGTCAAATGCTGTGTCACCAGCTCCGAGGACTATGACATTGCCATGGACACTTGGAAGCTGGGATTTACAGGCACACATTCCTTGAAATAGTGAATTGTAATTTTAACTTTTTACTAAAGTTCACCCATTCCATACCACAATAAGAAAAGTAAGGGAAACTAAGATAAATCTAGTTTTCAGGGGGGAAATGTAACAGCTGTCAGCCTGATTGTCACAGGTTTAAGAGATATTCAGAACAAGCTAAGTGCACCCCGTTTGCTATCAACTCTAATAATATAAGATCTTGCTGCACAAAATGAAATGAGAGCATACATGAAAAAACAATTCATCAAAGTCTTTGTGCAATTAATTTTAATGTTTAAAAGAATACTGTATGAAACAGTCCCTTAAAGAAATAAATTTACCAGGTTTGCTGGCAGCAGCTACTTTTGGGAGAAAACTTTTTGATGTGTAGAATCCCATGTCCTCTGTTAAACCATCAAATATTGGAATTTTCTTTGGGTTTGGTAAACCTAAAATTTCACAATTTTATAATGTATTTGAAACTTCAAATTTGTCTTATCAATTAACATACGTACAAAACAATACAAAAAACTAGTGTCAATTTTACCAAATGTAGAAAGCAATATTTCGAAAAAAAGTGTTTTAATAGCTACATGCCTAACAAAAAGAAAAGATGTTTGTTTTGCCAGATTTATGTGCTTGAAACAGAGAAAGAGAAATTACCCATTCCCAAGAAAATGACTTTGTATCCATCTTCCTTCAAGGATTGGATTGTGAATCCATTGGAAGCACTCAACGGGGTGTCACACACAATCTACACAATACATGTTATACAGATCAAAGAAACTGAAGAATGCTAAAATACAGGATTAATAAAATCACAATAAGACCAAAACAACAAAAGTGCAGAAATTGTTAATAAACAACACTGAAAGCCTATGTTATGAATAAAGCACACAGATATAAGGGATTGTTCACAACAAATTTTAGCAACTAGCTACTACCCACTGTCTCCACAGGGACTTTTACTGAATGCAATCAGAACAACACTCCTCCTGACATTGAGTAGAATACACAAATGATGGTGGTTATACAAGTATGTTGGAAACAAGAGGAGGCATGTCAGTCTGTTTATTTAATTACATATAGCAACAGTCAGTGTGCAGCAGCTAGGTTAAAAAATTCATAAACTTTCAAATAAAATCTTTACTCCAAAAACCAAAATGTAATCATGTAAAGAAGCCAAGCTCCTATAATACCTTAACACCTAGGTCCCTCATGAGTTGAATTTCAAAATCAATCACTTCATAAGGCAGGCGATACTGAGGAATCTCAGAGGAGCTGAAAACAAAAAGTTTTCAAGGGAGTAGCAACCAACACCCGGGCCATGGAAAATACTTTCCTGTCCATGCAAAAGTACATCGCCAAATACAATGCTTGCACATTTTTCTCCATGCAATCCCCACCATGTATGAACCATTTTATAGCATGCAAAGCCTTGAAAAAACCCTTTCTTACAACCTTTTCAAAATGCATAGAGATCACATAAACCAAAGCACACCATATATTTTTGTTATTAGAAACAATGCAAAAAAGGGCTAAATACTGCAATTTTTCAGAAACATATCCCACATCTTATTAATCAATACCTTAATCCACCGATATATTTCTGTTTCTCAAAGATGGTAATAGCAGAGTATCCCATCCTGGCTAAGAAAGTAGCACAGCTGATACTTGCAGGGCCACATCCAATCAGAGCAATCTTCTCATGATAACTGCTTGGTAACTGTTCCAAGGCTGGGAGGCTGGGGTCTCTGATCTGGGGAATCTTCATGTCCTTGAACACCTAGCCAAAATATGGCAACAGAAAATATATGTTCATTTTCTCTTTATCAACCAATTAAAGAGCCCAGGATTAAGGATGAGATCAAATCAATTAACATCTATTTATATCTATATAAATATCTATCTTTCCATTATACATGCTTCCTTCAAAAAAGAGATTGTTGATGATAAAATACATTAATGCCTAAATGATATTCAGGTTCAATACATTTTAAAAAAATCATTATAAATAAAAAAAGTTTTAAAAATCAAAAACATTTCAAGCCTTTTTTATCCAACAAGAAAGAACACTAGCTTTACCTCCACAGCAAACTGCTGCAAGCCCCCAATATTGATGGGTCCCTCTTCAGAAGCGTACAGGTTGCATCCACCCACACACAAGTCACTGGTTGGACACACCATGCCACAACTTAAACCCAGTGGGTTGTCTGACAGGATAGCCTTAGCAGCTCCATAGTAGTTCTGGAACATAGATTGATGACACTTACATATTTTACACCCTCTTACATAGCAAATATTGTGCTGAATGTCCAGATAAGCTGTGTGCACTTACTTTGTTGGCAATACTGGTGATGAAGTACTTGATGTCCAGTTGTGTTGGGCAGCTTTTCTGGCAAGGGGCATCTGCGCACTTTAGACATCTAAAAAGTGCATCAGTAAAGTTTATTACATATTTATATGCAAATCATATTAAATTTACAATGAATACTACTCAGAATGAATTTTCAACTTTTCCAAGAAAACTGAACCTAAGTTAAAAATTTAGTTGTACATCTTCAACACCCAGTATTTTCAAAACAACACCATCTGAAAGTAAACAGTTTGGGGCTTAGTTAAAACCAAAACCACACAATTTCCACAACAGCAATACTTGAATCAACAACTCATGTTTGTCTCAGTTTCTTCTACAAGATGTCATGATTAACTAAAGAAATTCAATAAATATACACTGCTTCTCTTTAAATTGGATAAAGAATTTTGCAGGTGGCCATAATTTTGGATGCTTTTGTTTTAGAATGTAATACAGTTGTTGTATGTTTACAGTGCTTTGAATGTGCCAGCAAGTGAAACTGCTTGCCAGTAGGTACCACTATTAATCACAGGGCTCTATGTACAAGTCAATTTTAAAAATGTACATGAACTAGCATGTGATAAGAAGCCATTATTACCTGGCTGCTTCTCTCAAAGCACCCCTTTCACTCAAAGTTGTGTGCTTGATGTCATCAAAGTTATTTTCCAGTGTTGAACATGTCTAGAAACAAAAAAATCCTTTTGTATTAAAAAGCAAAATTTCAGCATTCCAAAAAGAAATATATAACAAAAATATATAATTATAAATAAATAAATTAATAATAAAAGGTACCATTCCGTAAAAATGAAAAAGAAAAAAATCACTACATATAAATTGCTTAAAGAATGGTCACTTGTTGTTCACAATCAGATGCTACCATCTATCTTCCTTACCGAGCAGCCCTTCTCTTGGTTCCTCTTCCAGTGCTGCTTGGTTTTCTTTGTGGCTGAGGAGGACTTGAGGCTGGCATGCTTACTCACCCTGGGGTTCAGAGCAAGCAAGTTCTGAAAATTAGATAAAATGATAACAAAAATGACCAATAAGTACTATCTTCTTGGAAAAACTGGATGTCATTTTTATGTTACAAAATTTCTACTTGCAGAAAACAAAACAATACAATTTTGTCTAAAATTCAACATTAAGGGGTTCCATCTGCACACAGAATTACATTGATGGTCAGCAATAGTCAATAGCAACAACCATAATTAGTTGCTACATAATTATTCATATTTCAATTATAAAGATTAGAATAGAGAAATATTCATACAACTGCCTTGCTAATTTTTTATATTGCTTTACCAGCAATGGTGCAAGATGTTTTATTACCACTAAATCCAAATATAAAAACCAGCTGAATATAAACTGCTAGAGCTTGCAACAAACAGAGATTAATGAGGCCCTGCAAGTGTGTTTCTGGTTCAACTTAATGGCTGCAAGTCAACTTTGGGGCAAGCTAACGAATACAAACAGTCTTATCAGGGTTGATAAGGAGTTGCCAGAGTGCAGAAGCATATACATTTCCAACAACCAAGGCATATATAATATTTACTTATCTACTGAAGCCAATGATAACTAGCCTTTCTATTTCCATTCCTTCAAAATCAATTATTAAGTTCTTATAAGTTACGTCTCCTTCTAACTTCAACAACCTTTTGCTCACATAAAGTTTGAATTATGAAATATCTCAGGAACTGACCGGTATAAACTGGAAGGTACCTGTAACTGATTAGAAATGTGTGCAGATAAAGAATGGGAGGTAAGCTAGATGAAGCCAAATTGGGGTTATTTTCAATTCTTTGGTTGGAAGATTATGCAACATGGAACACAGCCACATGTCTAAACACACCTTCCACACCCAAATCTGAATGAAATTAGGTCAAAATAATACTCAAACAGAAGTTTCATATTAACTTGTTTTCTACAAGTACAGGAAAATAAATAGCCAGGCAAGTGGAATTGTTTAATTTCTCCATTCCCACATCAGATGCTAAAAGGTCAAGGCTAACATTTGAGATGTTACACTCACTCTGATTTCCTATGCTGATTTTAATCAAACATTTTACACATGCTTTAACACAAAATAATAAACACTCAATTCCATACTGACAAAAATCCAAATTTTGTGACCTAAAGAAATATGAATTAAAACAACTCTTGCAATGTTTAATATTATTATTTTCATCCATTAGAACCAGCTTATTGTTTTAAAAATATTATAATTATTATGTACAAAACCTCATCAATCTGGACTTGTGAATATTTAATTTGCATTTAGACTCCAGTAAATGTAACATATTTCTTGCTGCAAATGAAATGATATGGATATGCATTATTTATCTGAATAAATCTGCAACATTTTTATTGATAAAAACTATTTTCTGGGTCATTTTCTGCCTCTGGCAAACCTGTCTGGTATTCTCTACAAATGCTGAAGAAGGGGCCAAACAGGTGCACATAATGCAGTAACTTAGGGGATACCACTATGCACATTGAAAAAGGTAGAAAATGAAATTGATAGTAATTATACATGTAGTGGTGTTAGAATCAAAATAAGAAGCCAATGACTCTCAAGATGTATCTAGCTTTTTAGATACCAGCTACAGTGCACAGTATACTGTACTTTAATCGAATGCTGGAAAAGAACTTAATTGCATCCTAGCATGATATGCTTTTAAAATTAAGTAGGTCCCTTCTATTGTGTAAACTAGTAAACAAAATTATTGGCCTTGTACATTACATTACATGTACAAAATCTTACATGTGGTAAGCCATTTATTAATCTTCAAAAATCAATTCATTCCAATGCAAATAAGATGTGAAATAATTTTATAATAATACACAAATAAAATAATAATAATAATAATAATAAATCCCCTTAACTTAAATCAGATGTTTAAATTTAACTTTCAAAAATGCTTTTCTGCTGAAGGCTTTTGAATTTTTAGAAATTGTCCCCAGCAGTTGACTTAGTTCACGGCCTTACTTGATACTTATATGCACTTAACGCGGGCGCTGACCCTTAGAAGAAGGTTTCTGAATTTTTTAGAAATTGTCCCCAGCAGTGAACTTAGTTCACGGCCTTACTTGATACTTATGTGCACTTAACGCGGGCGCTGACCCTTAGCAGAATCTAAGGTAAAGTCTGAGGTAAACATCGTACATGTAGGTTGCACAGAACATGTTGTAGCACAATAACCGTTTCGCGTTTTAACGATGCAGCAGTTCCAGCAAACGCAGTCACCCACTTGAAATATTTTTTCTTCTTTTTTTTTGGTGCTATAATTTCCAAAAAGTTTAAAATCCATCAATACATACCTCTATATCTGCAACGTCCCTTGTTAGCTGGGCCATTAGTTCGGGTATGTAGGATACTGTAGATTATTATTACCGTCACCCGGAATGGACGTTATGTCACTAAAATCTAAATTGTAAATATTTGTAATTATAATCAAGCCAAAATATATAAAAATGAGACTCTTCCGTATTATATCACGTTTACAAACATTGTTGCAACCTGAGTTCGGTGCCGTTCCATATTTTAGTAATAATTCTGAGACATGCCGTAGTAGCTACAAATCATCACATTGTAGAACTTCTACTGTATACTCTCTTTAAATTTTCACAAACTATCGGTGATGGTATGTTAGAAATATAAAAAATAAATATTATTACTCTGTTTCTATATATTGATCACAAAATTCTAACAAGCGGTGTTATATTTAATAAAACATTTACAAGGTTTAGAGAGTAAAGGCTTCCTCGTTGCCATGTGACGGACATCGAGCGGCCAAGCTGAACATAGACACATGGTAATCGATACTTTACGAGATTTTTGCCACTGACAGATGTATCAGTCAGGGCGATTGTGGGCCTAAAGAGACGGTCTTTATTTAGTCCATCGTTGCAGGAACCACATTAAACAAGTAGAATGGCAGAGAAGAAATACAAAGGAGCTCCCTTCGGGACACAAACAGCAAGGTACTGATTTCTGTAGTAGGAGATATACAGTAAGGCTAGTAAGCAGTAAGATAGAAATGTCGTCTTGCATTGAAATATGATGTATAGGCGATTTTGTCCCAATGAAACGAGGATTGTTGAACGCTCTGCACTGGAAGTCTTGACAGACATTACTCTAATGGTTATTGTGAATTTGTCTTTAATTACCGGTAATTACAGGGTGTGACTGAAATGCGCAATACACTGCAATACAGCGCAATACACTTGATAACACAAGTCCAGTTGCAAGTAAACACAGGAAAGGGTAATCTCAAATAAAATAGGGTGATATAAAAGTAAAATATAGTACATACATGTAGTAATTAATATTGCTGATACAACTTGACAATTTTTTCATTGTTTGGTCAGTCGCCATGTTGGCGAGTAGTTCTTCTTGGCCAGTAATATATCCAAGAAGAGCCACTCGCCAACATGGCTGACAACCGGACAATATAAAAGGCTTGCTGATTTGTTAAGTTATATCAACGATATTACTTACCTAGTACTATAGGTTGTTTTTATATCACCCTGCTTTGCTGGTAATGGTCATTTCTTTTGTGTAATTGCAACTGGATTTGATTTTTGAAGTGTATTGCACTGTGTTGCGCTGTATTGCGGTGTATTGTGCATCTCAGTCACACCGGTAATTACACGCACATGCAGACAGTCAGGCAGACAGACAGACAGACGCACAAACACACACACACACACACAGAGAGAGAGAGAGAGAGAGAGAGAGAGAGAGAAAGAGAGAGAGAGAGAGAGAGAGAGAAAGAGAGAGAGAGAGAGAGAGAGAGAGAGAGAGAATAAATTAAATTAAGCCATTTAATAAGATGTTCATTATAGTTTAAAAACATAATATCTCACGGGTAAACAGCCTGCACCACAAAATTAATTATAAATCCATCAAAAAATATCTGTGTAAAATGTACATGATATGTTTAATTCATTTCATATTGCATTCTAGGTTTGATGTGTCTGCTGTCCATCCTAAGAATAAGATGCCTGGTACTTTCACTCAGACACCATACTGCAGAGTGTCCATGGAATCATTGGTAAGGGAATTTTTATGTCCCTTATGTTTCATGGCTTAGGACAATGCTATTCTTTTTTTACATTTAAAGTTTACCAAAAGCAATTTGACACTAGTTATTGCTTTCCAATTGATGCCAAAATTATATGTAAAAAGCTTGAATATATCTATATTTCTATATGTTAAAAACATGTTTAATGCACATTATTTTATTATTTTTAATTCAAATAGTTTATTAATACCTTGTTTTTGTATATTTCAGAACAGGACAAGAGGGCCTGGGAAATATGCTGTTGAAGTTGGTGGTTTCTCACCCAAGTCTGTGGAGGAGAGAGCATCTGGTCCTGGCTGGGCAAGGCAGTATGAAGTACAAAGAATGGCTGCAATGCCACATCTACTGCATAAAGAACAGTGGGAACTAAAAAGACTTTTGGTGAGTTGTTCTTTTTTTCTGTTTGTCTTCTCAAGTGGCAAAATTATGTTTGTACAGTGCTTATGTACAATTATCGAAAGTGAGTAGGAGCAAATATATTTATTTATATTATTATTATTTATTTATTTATTTATTTATTTATTTATTTATTTATTTATTTATTTATTTATTTATTTATTTTTGAGGAAAAATACATTTTGGCAGGAAAAATCTCATATAAATTCGGAGAATGCATGATTGGTGGTGTTGCTGTGATTTTGTCCAATTTTAATTTTCTTTAAACCTGTTCTTACAGAAAAGAAAACTTGCCCCAGGAACATACAATATCAAAGACTTTTTGGAAACATCAGATGAAAGACCAAGAAGTATTTATGGCATTTGTGCAACGAAAGAACCAAGATTTAGAAATACTGTCACTGTAAGTATACATAAAATGTTTGTATGCACAAAGGTGCTGTTAAATGCTGATTAAAAACCATCTTTGATTTGAAGATGATATGGTTCAATAATGTCTTGAAAAAATTATCTGTTTACAAATCATATTTCATATCATATTTGCAACTTATGATTACTTTCATTGAATTAATAAATTGAGTTTTGTGATATCTTGAACTGGTTATTGTTTGATTAAAAAAAACAACATATGATTGATCTTGCATATGATACATCATTTTATATATTTAGAATGCTACCCCTGGTCCTGGCACATATGGTATTGGGGGAGTTCCACATGCAGCCTTAGAACAGAAGGAAATGGCATCCACAAGTACAGTAGGAATGCTGGATGCTGTGTCCTCTATGCCAAGGTCATTGCCCTTAGTGGTCAGTATTTCGTATTTTAGATTGTTTTATATCAAGTTTATTGTTAAATGATGATTACTTGACTGCGTAATGTAAATAATTTTTGAACCCCTTACACTGCACCTTTGTGCCTAGAGGTACACTGTGGTGACATACTTGGTATTTATGTTTTTTATTTTGGATATTATTTTTACTTTACTCATTTTACATATCTTTCACCCACAGGGCTCAGATTTAGGACCAGGTAGTTATAATTTTGAAAGCTTCACAAAACAGCTTGAAAGGAAAGTGACCAGTCTACGTGGACCATATGATCTTTTCTCAGGACAAAGAAATAAGCCAATCACCACTGGTCACTTGGCAGTACCAGTAAGTCATTGCTCAATTTGCATCACAGTCATTTAAAACAATTTCACAATAATACTGATAAATGTATATATTATATAGATACAGAGCATTTTGAAAATGTTCATAATTATAATCATCTGTGTCATATGTTCTTTTCTATCCAGACGTGGCATACACTTGGCCCTGGTCAATATGATTTGAAATCATTCGTGGATGACTGGGGAACTATACATAAGAAGAAACATGGAAAGATGGGCAAAGTGCAGCAGCACCCAGACAAACCATCAGAGAGAATACTAGTTTCTACCCTGTCACAATGTCCAAAAGAAATGGTAAATTTTCAGTCTTTTGTAATTAGGAAAACATACTCATAGAGATATTTGAATATGTACTCAAGTATTGATCATCTGGTGATGATCTAAGTTAAATGAAGATTTAAGCATAATACTGAAGACTATTAGATTGTGTGTTATTGTTGTGATAAATCCCAACTATTTGAATTTTTGTGTTAAAAAGGAAAATGTCTAAAAAATAATTCACAAATGACCCACAACATCACCTTGTGCTACATGTAAATTTTTTTTCATGTGATGTTTACATTGTAGGGTGCCCCTGGACCAGGAGCTTATAATGCTAAAGAAATTTCCAAGCCTCAGGCTCACAATTCCCCTGGCTTCCTGTCATCTGCTAGGAGAGATGACAGAATGGCACAGAAATTTTTCACACGAAACTTTGTGAGTTTTACTTTTGTCTGATATGTTTGATATTGTACAATTTCAGTAGCTTTAAAATGTAGTAGTGAACTTTGTTTTTTAATATGCAATTAAAATGTTCCTTTCAGTTTGTTTCTGTTGAAAAGCACTGTAACAGAACTTGGATGTGAACATTAACATAAATGAATAACACTTGAATATGTATAATATGTTTATATGATTATCTTTTTCTCCAATGTAGAATCCTGTTGGTGCAGGTCGTTATGATGTCCAGAAATGGGAAGAGGCACAGCATGTAAATGGACATGAGAGTGTATTTAAATCCAAGTCAGGAAAAATATCATTGAAGAGGGAACAGTTCTTAAAGTAAGCATTCATGTTATATTGTTTACTCTGTGAATAGATCAGTGTTATTTACTTTATTTTTAAACTCAAAAAGTGAAGTGTTATGCATTTCATATCAGCAAATTGCTTGAAAAAGGTGGTGCCTACATTTGTAGTCAAGAATCTGTAGTCATGCTGCTTATGTTATTTACTGTAATCTCTAACCAGAGCACTTTTCTTAATGGGCTTTTCACGCTTACCTTTTAGGGAGAGGTTAAGAGCAAAAGATGTCCCTTTTAAGGAGAGAGTATTTATCATACCGCCAGAGAAGCCAGACGATTACATGACCAAAACAGATATGCACATGCAGTTTTCAAAAAAGAAGGCAGTAACTGTTGCATAAGCTGTGGGACTGTTCACAGTCCAAATACTGTTAAATGTATTGATGGGGCGGATAGCCATTTTTGGGCATTGACATATAATGGCATGGATTGAGAAATCAAAGCTGCCTTCTGCTCAATATGTACCAATACAAGTGCATGCACTATGAACTAGGTGGTCAAAACAGGCAAAAGGAACTGCCTGAGAAGAGATTTTGTGACAATTTTTATTTCAAAGGGATATAAATGAAACTCATTTCTATACTGCTGAAAGTAACCAATGCATTCCACGAAATTTTTAAACAATATCATTATGTGAATTGTGGAATAATTGAATCTCTTTAAAACCACCGATGTGAGCATGACAATCTGCATGAAGAATAACACAGTCATATAGTGTTGGAGTAAGTAATATTTTGCTCAACAGTTTCTATTTTGCTAGGTTTTATCTACTTGTATCATTTGATAATTCAGTTTTCTGTGATAAAAGTAGCTTGTGTATATATAAGTATATATATTTCAAATTTTGCTAATGCTATATGTGCTCAATAGGTATCTCTACAATTTTTTTCGTAAAATTATGACTTCAGTTGTTCATGAACTTGCCTGTATTTTTCTAGTGGTTTTCTGCATTGCTCAATGTCCTTTCCTTTGAAACATAATCATTGGCATTTATTCTGTTGCATAATAATAGGAAAGGAACTTTGTGCAATTATCTTTGATGCTGCATAATCAAGATTTCAAATTACAACTGGCACCTTTGTGCAGCATATACACTGGTTTGCATATGCAAAGGTATGGATTTGCTTCAATGTGTAAATATATCGAGGCAAACTAATAAAACGTAGTAATCACTGGTATTTTGCATTTCAATGTTTTAAAATATAGAAGCTTCATGCCAACTTGCCAAGAGTTTCTTCTAAAACTTTACACCACCACATTAAAATTTACCTTCAAAGGCAATTATTGCAATTTTTCATGGTTTTTGTACCAAATGACTCCTTCCACCATCCAATGATGGGTAAATTGATACTTATGAACTTAACTCTTGGACAATAAATGTCTTTAATTTAAATGAATGACAGATTTTAATGTTAAAGATATAGCAATATATTTGGTTTCTTTCACGAAGTAAACAGTGATGGCAGTGCCATGCTTCAAGGATGCGAGGGTAGTTGAACTGGTCATCAGAGGCTCCAAGTTTCACAGGGTTCAAATTCAACAAGAAAACTGATTAGTGGTCAAATAACAAGTCAAAACTTTTCATAATGCTGAAGTTAACTTTATTAACACCTTAACTATTTCCAGTTGATCCATCCAGTTTCTCAGAGCTTGTAACACTTTCAAATGAGATTCACTTTTTAGCTCAAGACCTCTACACTTTGTTTTCTAATGGTATTCAATAAACAGTGTAAAAAAATTACCACTGAAAATGAATGTTTCTGTAGCATTGGACTAGATAAAACTGTTTTCTACAGATCCAAGAATATAACTGATTTTGCTTGAGCCCAGGGGTATAAAGACAATGTTGCATGGGTCTTCCCCGACAGCAATGTTTCCTAGACGACAAAGTCCCAGCTTGGTCCACACACCACTAAAACCTATATTTCACCGGGGAAAGTATCACAACTTGCTTCAAAACTGGACATCCTTTATTGAATCAGACCTCTAGCATGTCACATCTCATATAAAACAAATCTACTTAATCTCATGTGGTATGTAAATTACAAATAAAAGGTTGCACATACCTTATGCTGTATAGTGACATTTGCTATATATTCAGTTCTGTATATAGGGTCTCTTCCTCAAAAGTAATGTTAATTAACAATAGCACCTCTGAAATCTGGCAGATGAAATAGTGGAGTAGGTAGGTAAAAACAACATTTTACCACATATTTTACATTATTTCTGATAAAAAGAACCTACATACACAATTCAAAATAGCAAGTTTGTAAGTACTAGATCATCAAAGTAACCCTATCCCAACACAGCTGAAGAGGCTTAAACAGGCAAAGCATCAAAGACTGGATTCCCATACCTAGATTGATCTAACAGGATTGGTCCATCTCCAAGGGGTTTCTCGCTAAATTTGTTTCAGCTAAGGCACCTTAGATGTTTGGCACACCTACTAAAGCTGCTAAATGATAATTAATTATCCCCTAGCTGATTTAGTAGGCATGACAGACATTAAGCTGCTTTATTTGATTGCAATTTAGCGAGAATTTGGAGATAGATCGATCCACAGTTAGTATGATAGGCTCTGGAAATGGTCTCAAAGACAACATAAGTGACTGCTTAGTGCTACCATGCAAAGCTAGTTCTGTTGTCTTCATCTGTGAGGGGGGTCCTTTTTTCTGCAATCAAAGTTAAATTTGTCTTCTTTAGGAAACAAGTGAATGTTCAGTACAAAGCAAAAAGATGCTCATTGTTTACTAACTCTATCTAGAACACTGAAGGATACAACAAGGAATAATAAAATGGAGTTGCTACTACTGCTGCTATGTAATTCTACCAGTGCTATAAGAACACAGCCTCTTCCCCCACAGATGTCAAACAGAACTAGCTTCACATGAAGCTGCTGTGACTGGGGTTTTAAATGACTAGGGGTGCATTCCCATAGATTTTAGATCGATCTAGGCCCGTGGGGAGTCTCACTAGATTACTGTCAGATAATACGGCTTAAATGTCCGTCCCGCCTACTACAATCTGTAAGGGGGTAATTAACTTTTGTGCACGCTCGGCTGACAGCTGTTTAGCGTGAACCCCCAGGGAGTAAGGTTGATCAAGTTGGATCGATCTAATCTCTGGGAAGGGGGTCTAGGAGTGGGTTTTCAGTCCTGTGCACCTTTAGCCAAATATATCCAGGGATGAAACTACCATTTAGTGAAAAAAAGTTGGAAAACATGACATAAAGTCAAAAGGGCCACCTAGGTCAATTATATTTTTGGCTCCCAGAAAGTTGAATATCCACAATCAGTCGAAAAAATCTCATCCCTGTATATCATGACATACACAAGCATATCCTGTCTCGTTGCATTACAGATGCAGCTTCACTGAAAACACTGACAGCATGTGTTGGTGTTCAACATTCAATTTCCAGTTCATTTGATCACCTCTTGAGGAAAGGGCTGTGTAATCGTTCTAGCACTTGACTAAACTGCTTCTCTATTCACTTGATATTTGGCATAAAATGTTTCCTCTAAATCTACAATGGCTTTGAATATACACTGGTTACATAAAATATAAATGGAATACAAAAATATCTAAAGAGATGGAAGATAAAAAGTTCCAATGATTTTGTCTAGGAGGAACTTTCAAGTTTACTTAAGTTACAGCTAATCGGTATGGCACAAATTTTCTGGTGAAAAAAATTTTGGCACCATTCACCAACAGAAAAACTTGGCCATAAACATGGTACAACCAAATAACATTTTGAACAACATATACCTGAGAGCAAGCTTTCTGGGTTTTTAAATTGAGCACTATGACCAGATTTCCAACAGTTCTCAGTTCTATTATGCAAGGAAAAAAATCATCCTGGATAACAAACTGACTGAAATTTGCTGAAGAAAATTTTGGAGAGCAAATCATGGTAAAGGGTTATTTTATCAAGATTTTATTTGGAATGTATTTATGTAAAAAGTCAACTTTGATATGCCACACAAAAATGCTTTCATCTTTCACACCAATTACATACTGAGCAATATCCTTTTCAAAACATGGGCAAATGTGTGCCATAAACTTCCAATGCTTTCATAAAATTCCCTTCAAAATTTGTTTTTACCTGCATGGTAAAGGCAACTCACTGTCAGCTTAACAAAATGCAATTCCAGACAATATGGCACAGATCCTACATGCTTTAAGAAGAGCTCAACTGCAGCAGTAGCAACAACCAACATCAATAGATTTAAAGAGAAACATTACAAAAGAATAAAGAAACCCAGTTCATAAATGAACTGCTGCACAATCTCTCGTTTGGTACAGGCTTCAAAGGGAAGATAGAAGTTCAACACAGATCTCCCAAAAGGAAAAGAGTAATTATCCTAATCCTTGGATAAGCACTTTGCAGACGCTCCAATATAGAAATATCATGGAACAGAAAGATAACTATCTAAACTATAAATTGTTAATACAAAAATGATTGTCTATTGATGAAGTTTTTTTCTGCAGGGCTATGCTGTGTCTAATCCCAACTTTCTTCATCTGCTTCAACAGGGGCAGAGAATCCACCACCTCCACCCATATCTCCTGCATCAAAGTCATCACCACCGCCATTCTGAAGATGAGCAAATGGAAAAAAATAATCATTTAAGGTTTTTTTGTGGTATAAATTAACCAAATTTCGTGGATTTTTTAACTCTAAGTGTGCTCTGTGAGCTAAAGGGCATTTTTTTTTCTACTCCAGGCAGAGATAAATCCTTACCCTAGCTCCTCCCTTTCTTGCATCCTTTCCCCCAAACTTGCCACCCACACCAAAGAAACCTCCACTGCCAAAGCTACTCTGGGCCTGGTTCTCTAACCAGTCTGGGACTTCCTGTTGAGCCTGAAACATGGATGAGAAAAAAATCTTTTCATTCCAATCCAAAATGCATGCCCAATTAGAATTTTAATTCTAATTATTGTTAAAAAAAAAACATCATTGAATAAGATTTCAACTTATTTGAAATAAATACTTCCAGAAGAAATGTCTTCTCTTTTCCTTAAATATTGAGAAATCGTATACAGGTGTTTTGGATTAAAACAAAGACCGAAACATTATGACCACCATTTTCTTGAACTTACATCTTGCAGCACCTTGACTAGACCTCTAGCAATGTCAGAATTGTTGCCGGAATCGAAAAAGCTGGTTGCCTTCCCAATGTTTCCACACCTCCCTGTTCTTCCTATGCGGTGGACATACTCATCAATGCTGGATGGAAGGTCGTAGTTTACGACATGTTTCACGTCAGGAATGTCTAGGCCTCTAGCAGCAACTGATGTGGCTATCAATACTGGTGCACGGCCACTTGTGAAGTCACGGAGAGCTTCCTCACGCTCTCTCTGCAGGCGATCACTGCAAATTGGATTAAAAACATGCTCAAATGTTTTTTTTACAATATAACAACAGGTCTTAACTATTAAAAGATTGAAGAAAAAGTTATCCAAAAATTTGATCACTTTCTAATATCTTTGTAACAACTTACATTTAAGTTTAGCCAAATAAATTTAAACATATTCTGTGCACTCATAAATACAATTTTTAAAATGGTGATGTAACATGGTATTTACCCATGAATACTGGTGGTGGGATAGCCAGTCTGAGACAGGTAAGATGCAAGAAAGTCTGCATTCCTTTTCTGTTCAACAAATACCAGAACCCTGTCAGTTCCTGAAAATACAAGGAGTGTTTAAGTATTACATTTAGACATGCTAGGTATAAGAAAAGTCTACTAATTCCACATCTAAAGGTCAAGATTGATTTTTGTCAGATGTGAGTGAGTGAAGTCAAGTTTCAAATGTAGAAAGGTTTATGAAGTGATCTGTTTCTCACAAAACTTACCAGATTCATTCAAGATCTCACATAACCTTTCCCTCTTGTCATACTGTGTCACCTCCTTGACATGCTGTTCCACATCAGAGCTGGCCCCTCCCACTCTGCCCACAGTCAGGAAGATGTAGTCATTCAGAAAATCAGCAGCGAGTTTCTGGATCTCCTCTGGGAAAGTGGCACTGAACATCAACGTCTGCCGTTCTGTCTTATCCGTCATACCCATGGTCTGGACCAGCTTGCGGATTTCTGGCTCAAAGCCCATGTCTAACATTCTGTCTGCTTCATCGAGAATGAGATATCTTATTCCTCTCAGACTGACCTAAAATATAAGTATTTGAAATATTCATCAACGCAGCCAAATTGGTAAAACAGACTGCACTGCCAACATAATTTGCATTAACCTGCGCTTGCTGATCTGAATTTCTGGATTCATGTTAATGCGTGACTTTTTAGAACAAGTAGTCTTTGGAATGGAAATAAATGTCTTAACCGTATCACTTAATTAAAAAGATAGTATTGCATACCTTTCCTCTTGTTACAAAATCAGACAATCTCCCTGGCGTGGCGACAAGAATGTGTGTCCCTTTTTCCACATCTCTTATCTGGTGTCCCACTGAGGTTCCTCCATAGATTGTCACAGAACGGATCATTGTGCCACGAGAAAACATGCGTGCGTCTTCACCAATCTGAATGGCAAGCTCACGGGTTGGTGCAATGACTAGGGCTTGGGGTTCCTGGATTTCTGAGAATTCACTCCCAGTGATTCCATGGGCTAACATTCCAGACAAGACTGGGAGAAGAAAAGCTGCCTAAAAATAGTTTTAAGTTATTCTTCTTTAACAAGCAATAAGTATATTTTATTGATATATTTAATTATTCTTGTGATTCTTCTCAAAGTACTGTGCAATTTATTACACCAATACTTTATAAAGAATTCTAATGAACACAAAAACACTTGAATGTCTTAAAAAGCATAACTATAACAAAAACCTACCAGTTTAAAATTTTTGAATATTATCAATGAACGACATTAGCACCAATGTACTTACAGTTTTCCCTGAGCCAGTTTGGGCACATCCCATGACGTCCCTGCCTGCTTTGATGATAGGAATGGCATACTTCTGTATAGGTGTAGGTTTCTCATACTGCAACTTTCTAATGTTATTCATAAATGTTTCTGAAAGCTCTGCTTCCTCAAAGCTTGAGATAAATTGAGGAGCATCCCGGCCAGATACCTCTACTGGGATTTTATCATATTTATCAAAGTTGATACCTCTTGCAATGTGGCGGAATATCTCTGCTTCATCTTCCGGAGGTGGGGGAGGTATGTAAGGTGCTGGGCGCTCTCCTGCAAATTGGAAAGAAAGTGACTTAAAAAGCAATCTCCACTTTTCAGTCACCAGGGAGTCTTAAAATCATTGTATGTTGCTAAATATTACTAAATGCCCTAGGTAATTTCAATTGGGCAAGTGAGCTGAGAGGCACAGCCACTTTTAATCTATCAGTCTATTTAATTTACTTAGATGAGGACTAAAAGCAACTTTCCAAAATACTTATTTGTTACACAAACAGATCAATACTTAGATATATTTAAAGAACAGTAACACACCTCCTCCACTGCCTCCTGCCTTTTCAGCATTAGGGCATTCTCTCGCAAAGTGACCCGATTCTCCACACTTAAAGCAGCCTCCTCCACCTGATAATGAAGATATTTAGTCATATATACCAAATAAAAAAATACCATTTCATAAACCTCACAAAAGGTAAGTTGGAAACTATACTTAATTTTTCTCACAAGAATACAAACTTCTTACCTTCTCCAGAACCACCAGAATCTCCTCTTCCACGTCCCCTTCCTCCTCCAAATCCACCACCCCTGTGACATACAAATATCATTATTACACTTGAAATGTTACCCAACACAACATTTTATCAACTACAACATATAAAAAGCTGGTGTTAAAAAGGAAATTTACTATGTAAAAAAAGTTTCTGCAACAGACTTCACATCAGTTCAGCAGTTGTCCTATACATGATCATTTTAAATCTGTCCTGAAGATACCAAAGCTGTGCAGAATATACTACCTCTTTCTAACACTTCACGTCTTACCTTGGTGGATCACCATCATCTGTAATGTAATGTTTATGTCTAGTTAATGTCCATTAAATAAATTTGTCCCAATCATTCATTACCAGTATCAAAAACAAATTTCTTACAATTTCATTAGCAGAATTATCACAATTAAGGAGTGATGTTTAATCAGAATGTCTTTTTTTTAATGTTCAAATAATCATCATGATGATTTTTATTTTACCAGTATTAACATTTGTAAGGGTCATTTAGCCTACCTCCACTGCTTGATCCAAATCCTCTGCCTCGTCCAAACCCTCTGCCACTGGAGGAGTCATTGTCATCATCCTTTCTTCCAAATCCTCCACCACTCCTTGAACCAAACCCCCCGCCTCCACTGCTTGAGCCAAATCCTCCGCCTCCACTGCTGGAGCCAAATCCCCCACCCCCACTGCTGGAGCCAAATCCCCCACCACCACTGCTGCTGGAGCCAAATCCCCCGCCTTCACTGCTTGAGCCAAATCCTCCTCCGTTGCTTGAGCCAAATCCTCCACTTCTTGAACCAAATCCACCACCTCTGCCAAAACCCCCACCACGTCCAAATCCACCTCCACTGCTGGTGCTGTCTGGAAAAAAATACCATAGAAGTGCGATTAGCCAGACAAGAAGTGTAAAACCCACACCATAAAATCCTACTGGTAAAAAACTGGTACTCAATTTTCATTTTGCAGCAAAGAAAACATATGTATATTCCACAGCTATTCCATTCGTTCTTTGGCTTTGCTGACAAATATTGTTTTGTGCCTGCCATCAAAGTATTCTTACCTCCATTGGGGCATTCTCTGGCAAAGTGACCCTGTTCTCCACACTTGTGGCAAGCACCTCCTCCTCCTCCTCTACCGCCTCCTAGAAAAATAACATCTCTACACATTACTTCAATAAATTACTCCTGGACCTTTCTCTTTGTCTTTGCTTAAAAAGATGGCTATTAAAGGACAAATATCATAAGAATTATTTATGAAAATTATTGATAATTCTTAATTAATTAAATCAAAACTATTGGCTAACTACAGCATGTCAGACGACATGAATTTGTGAAGTTTAAAGGCATAATAACTCTTTGTATGAGACCTATATTTCACAATAAAAACCTTGTGAATAACTCACAGAAATATAATATATTCTGTTTTACAACAAAAACAGCAGCTATAGCTTTTATTCTGATATTTGAACTTGTCTTTAGACCACGTGACCTCCATTGATGTCTATACTTTGTTAAAATCTCTTAAGAGATTTTAACAAAAAACCAAACTTTTTAGAAAAAAACCAGGGACTAACTTTGAATGTAAAAATGGATTCATTAACCATTGGTAAGTATGGGAAAATTGTTGTTTACTCCAGGAAAATTCATTTTTTGGCCGAAACGAAGAGTTATTATTGCTTTAAATAAATTATCTTTACCACCTGAGAAAACTCGAATGGCAAGTGATGGGTGACAAAGATCTTCAGAGAATGCCTGTTACTGTTAATCACCAACTATAAATCTATAGTTAGGCAAAATCTTACCACCACTGGGACATTCCCTGGCAAAATGACCCTCTTCTCCACACTTATGACAGGCCCCACCACCTCCACCTGTAGAAAATAAATAAATGAATAATTAGATAAAAATTTAAGTACCAGAAAAACAGATCGATATGAATCCCTTATATCAAACTAATTTTCCTGAAAGTGTATAAAAATGTTTAACTGTTCATGAACTTCAATAATTGCAGCTGTTCCATAATGTGCACATTTTATTGGAACGCACAATAATTATAAAAGTTAGGAGATAACCCTCACCTTTGTTAGGACATTCTCTTGAAAAGTGCCCTTCTTCTCCACACTTATGACAGGCATTCCCACCACCTTGCAACAAATCACAATGACATCAGCCAAACAATCTATATCTTAACTTTTTTTCACCATAATCAAAGCGACAAGGTCAAGTCAGCACATTAATCAATATCAATCGTCAACAAGTCTGAATTGCTCATTGGCATTCTGAAGTTAGAGCAAGCAAAAGAAAGATTCAATATTTTGTGGTAGAAATGTGTAAATCAACATTGATAACCTTTGTCTCTTTTCTGTGGACACCTTGGCAATTTGTTTTGTTTTACTCAACATTTTCACTCAAATAAAAGATAAATGTCACTACAACTCAAACTTGAATACTCCAACAAAACCACCAGATTACATGCAACACTGATAAAACTATGTAGGCAATAACAACATAACTGGGTCAACAGAGCCTACATCAACAGACAGTTTTTCCCCCACTGTAGCAGCTGTCAAAATTAGGGGAAAGGGCTGAAAGAAGTGCTCCTCATGTAGTCTGTTGACATACTTTTCACAGTCCAAGCATTAAAAGCAGGATAAGCTGACAGATCATAAGTACCCAGTCTACCAAAAAAAACTCGAGAAGCCAGTGCGGTTAAAACCATTATGCGTGAATATGATCAGACAGACAGAAAAAAGTATTTTCTTTGAAAAATCACAAAAAATTAATGTTGCTTAAATGTTCTGGCACCAAAATCAAATAACATTTTAATAAACATGCCCTTTCTTTTGATAGAAAATAGTCAGTTTGCCTTTTAAAGATTTTAAGAGAAGCAAAGCTGATTGCAAGTCTTAAAGCCATGTCAGTGACAATAAAAGCATCATATAAAGCCACATCTATACAGTTGACAACAACTTACATCTTACCACGCTTTGCTTTATGAAATGGGAATCCTATAACCTCTGTAAGGTGGAAGCAAATGTTTATTTGGTACACAACATATCATTACCCAAAGGGAAAACTGTATTTCCTAAGGGAATAATCTTAATTATCTCACTTGATATTACAAGTAAGTGGACAGTATTATACTTAAAATGCACTAAAAAGGAACAAAATCATGATATCAGAGGATTTAATTTAGATAAAAACATGCGTGCCATTTTGAAATCTTTACTTACTGCTTGAGCCTCCTCTGCCCCCACCTCTGCCAAAGCCACTACCGCCTCCAAATCCACTTCCACTTCCAAATCCTCCTTAAAAATGAAGTTCACGTTCGACCTTAAGAACCAATATTTTGCTTATGAACAGAAAATAACAAGCTTTAAGCAGCTACTTAAAAGATGATGTTTACAAAAGATCATTAAGATTGCTAGATTACCAAAATGTGAAACAACCTACCTTTTTTACCAAACCCTTCGTTGTTATTGTCATCACTCTTAAAGCCATTACTACTGCCAAAACCACCTCCAAAGCCACTGTAAAATATACTGTGTTTTTATCTTTCTGTGAAAATTAACTAGCAAAGTCAAGATTATACTAGTAGGAGCCATGTTTAATTAACCACAATCCTAGATTTCATGACTGTTTTTGATACAACCTGATAATAAAACGTAAATATCAAATGTATTTATGTCAATCATTTTGGACAAAATATGACCTTTTGAATTTCTTTATTTTTGTATGAGCTGTTAACTTATGACTTCACTGCAGATAAAATATAAACATACAGTGACAATCTTAGGGCACATTCCCATAGATTTTAGATCGATCTATCCCCGTAGGGAGTCTCACTAGATTACTGTCAGATAATCCAGCTTACATGTCCGTCCTGCCTACTAAAAGCTGTAAGGGGGTAATCAACTTTCGTGCCCGCTTGGCTGACAGCTATTTAGCATGAACCCCCAAGGAGTTAGGTCGATCTATTTGGATAGATCTAATCTCTGGGAATGGGGTCTTAATCTCTACTCATACTACCATTCTAAACATGGTGTGGAAATGGGACCATCTAATCTCCTAAGGAGTTTTGGTTCACTCTGCTAAACTAAAGTGCAAAACTTATCCACAGCATATGGCAGCAATCTTGCTCCCATTTTAGAGACAAAATAACTATCCTTCCAATAAAACCAAAATTCAAAAAATAACATTCTCTAATATCTGGTAAAATTAGGGGAGTAAAAGATACACAAAAATATTTGATTTAACCTGAATAATTTCAAGAAAGTTGATGTGTTCAGTTACATGAATTTTAATATTTTTTCAATTGTCACGAGAAATTCATATAATCATTATTTCTTAACAACTGGAAATGTGGTCAAAACCTGAAGAGTATAGTATATATAAGAAACTTCACAGGTCTGCATTAGGATCCAACATAAATCTTGAGTTGGATACTAAGACCCTTTCCAAACTGAGGGGTATAGGCATCTGTGATCCAGTCCACAGCAACAGGTCCTAAGATGTAATTATGCTACAGGGGATTTATTAAGTTCTCCACAAGTTTACTTCCTGCCATTTAGTTCTTCTTATGTGCAGAGGCCCATTTAAGGGACTCTTCCACATACCAGCAAGGCTTTTAGATTGATTATCTCTCAAAGTGAACTGGTATGGTAAAATTTACCGCTTGATGTGAAATGGGTCTAGGTCTCATAACTTACCGGCCAGCTCCAAATCCACCACCAGAATTGCTACCAAAACCTCCTCCCCCTGATGACTAGACAAAGGATTAATATAATTATATATATAATATAAATTATATATAATATAAATTAAACGTATAAGAAATATGTGTAAGTGGGAATCCACCCTCGCTTCATTTGTACCTTAAATTTGAACATTTTTCCAAAAGCTCAAATATAAAACTAGACAACCACAGCAGGAAAAATTTGAATTATCAAAGTCAGTTTAGTGGTGTAATCTAAATTTCTGAAAATTGCCACAGGAAGCCTATATGTTACTCAGTTTGTGAACAACAGCAACAGTTGAAGATCTAGCCTACAGTGTATGTATCATGCCAAAATAAAAAAGAAACAAACAAAAAAGGAACAGCCACCTTATGGACCTCCAACCCTATTTCTCTATCTTGGGTTCCACATTGAAAATGTACGTCATCAAATTTATGTCCAAAACTATTTCAAATATGTGATTTGGACTTCGAACAATCATAATTTAGGTGATGTCTATTTTGATAACAATTTTGTACAAATGCAGAAGTGCCATTTTTCATTTTGAAGTTAGCAGCAGAATGCAAATCTGATAGGGGTCTATTTTGGCAACATACAGTACTGTACATATCTTAACAGGGCATCCTGAGTAACATAGGTGGTAAAAGTTATAATATCCAGGGCGTCTCTAAAACTACTTAATGTACAGTATAACATTTCATATAACAATGCAAATTAACTGCTACCAATACCAAATGCTTACCCCAAACGTTGAGGATGTTTGTGGAGTTGAACCGGAGTCGTCGTCCCAGTCTTCCATGATATTAAACAAATTCGATGCCCCTGCCTCGTGCTTCAAGTGGACACAGCAACACTCAACAGGTGCCCAGAAACAGTGCGATATGCCTAGTGGAAATCGAGTATTTATCTGTATTAGAGTTAGCTCTGCGCCTCTCCTTCAATGAAGAAAAATATGCCCTTCAAAGTAAGTTGAGCAGGAACTTTTGAATACGCAATAAAATGAAAGATAAGTGCCGTGGCTCCGCTGAAGTCTTGTAATCACTTGTCACACTGCACCTCAGCACAAGCACATGGTGAACCCCTGTCAGTCACGTGGACTCTTTCCGCCAATCACCGACTTAGAAATTTCTGGCGCCGATATTACAAACATAATTACTGCAGAATTTTCCAAGTTCCCAAGACAATCTGCTGTAGTTTTATAAGCTGGGCACTGTGTTTTGGGAACGGCACTGCTGCAGTGCTGCTGGCTTTTTGTTTTCAAGAAATTTGTGTTACTTAAAAATAACGTCGCGTTACCATTTGGACCAAAATTACACTTTTCTTGTCTTGGTCAGTAGTTCTTGTAAACGGGAACATACATTTATCCTTCATCTCCTATATTATCAAAGAAATAATGTATTTTATTCCTTTTAATAATAAAATCATGCTGGCTTTGTATTAAAAAAAATTGAGATATTATTGAAAACCGATCGCTAGGTCTTGAAATGTCCGTGAAGGGGGGGGGGGGGGCTGGGTTAACATCAAATTTGAAAGCTGCTTTCTGTTTCTGTCACCCAATCCCAATACATTAATTCTTGGATCCATGTATCGGATGTATCATGGGCCCAACATAAATCAATTTCTTGATGACCTCCAATTACATATGATAATATATTATTATTATAACTGCCAAAAGAAGTTACATATGTATATACGTGTACGTTGCACAGCGTAGGTCCATCAGGAGCGTAAGAAGCAAATAACACGGTAGGCCTTTAACCATTCGAACGATGCAGAAAAAATAGTGACGGGGGCGGGGGATACTCCATTGCCCTCTTCTACCTTTTAGACTGGCGCGTGGTTGACAAAACACTGGCAAGAGTCGGAAAGCTCTCGCTACATTGGTGACATAATGTCCCTATCCATCCAGTTCTCCTACGCCTATCATATTATTTAAAGTGTAAATGAAGATCTCTCTCTCTCTCTCTCTCTCTCTCTCTCAACGGTTTTACAAACTGTACACGACAGGAGCGCTGTGTCGCCTTTTCCGGGACTAAGATCTGACGATGCCCAATGTTTTTTATGAATGTAAATACCGGTAGTCTTGTTATTTTTAAGATTCCCGTAGGTCCCTTATGAATGCCCTGAGTGTTAGAGTAACTGTGAATCGGGCTTCAACCTGGTATTGCTGATATGGGTTATAATATATGAAATCAAGATCGAGCTGGCAATACCGGAATCTAGAACCTAGGGTAGGCCCTACTTATGAACCGTTACCGTCGCAATTCTTTCTTGAGCTTACAAGATTTTCAGGTTCTGCTAGAATTTTACCCTCTACCAGGGTTAGATTAATTTGTCTCTGGCTAATACATGTGTTCCAGGCACAAAACGCGCGTTGGAGGAAAGTGTACATAATTAAAGGAATAATAACTCTTCGTATGAGATCTATATTTCACAATAAAAACATTGTGAACAACTCATAGAAATATGGTATACCACAAAAACGGCACTTATAGCTATTATTCTGATATCTGAGCTTGTCTTTAGACCACATGACCTCCATTGATGGCTAAACTCTGTTATAATATCTTAAGAGATAACAAACTTTTTAGAAAAAAAAACAAAAAAAAAAACAGGGACTAACTTTGAATGTAAAAATGGATTCATTCACCATTGGTAAGTATGGGAAAATTGTTGTTCACTACATGAAAATTCATTTTTGTCCAAAGCAAAAGGTTATCCCTTTAACGTTATACACTTTCTTAGTAATCAGTTTGCAAACATTTTTCTTTTACTTTGAAATAAAATTGATCACTTTAAATACCCAGCAAGTCGTCAGTCTATAAATTTCTACTTATTTAATGGTCAATAGATTTGTGAATGTGTAACAGGTTATGTATAGATTTTTTAGCAGCGAACCGTTCAGACCGGTCTAAGCATGAAGTGTCCTCTAGCGGAATATCCCCAGCTCCTTAGCCTATAGTAGCCTTCCAATCGGGACCATCCTTTAATTGTGACGTCAGCAGAGCCCTCCCTGCGCACTAGTGTCTGCGCAAGAAAAGGTGAAAAGGTACTCTTCATTTTGTGCTGCGACATACAAGACGTAAGTTGTGCTTTTGTGCCGATTTATTTGATGACACTTGGTTAACGTGTTTCCTAGGATATAAAATTTTGAGAGTAGTAATATTAGGTAGCGTGATACCAATTTTACGTTATTTATAACGATTTATTTCCCCTTGTAAAATCGTAAACATTTGTCTCAACCGGCTTTTGAAGGTTTCGACTTTCACATTCAACCGGCTTTTGCATAGTGAAGTTTTGAAAGCTTATTCAGTGTCACCACGATTTGTCGCCCGGATTGTAAGGTTTCAGGTCTACGTAGCGATCTTTTCTTTGACAGAGTGAGATTAGGTTTGTGTATTCTGCGTACCATCTAGTGACTTTGCTCTTGTTTTTCGTCCTTCATCAAAGGTGACAAGATTTGACCTTGAAACTAATCCGAACTTGGAAGTCTTGGCTCCCGTTCAAAAATTACATTTGATCGATTTTGACAGCATAACAGAATTTAAAATTTTGTCATTTAGCCCTATTCATCATGCCTGGCCCTCAGTTCTACCAGTATTTGAGCAAGGAGCAGGAGAAGGAGTTGGCCAGGATAGCCAATGCCATCGTTGCACCTGGAAAGGGAATCCTTGCAGCTGATGAATCCACAGGTAAGTAAATGCATTGATTAATGAATTAACAATTGATAACTTGCATCAACTGATTAGAATAAAAATAACTGAGTGTTAAAGAAAGGTTTTAATAAGTAAAAAATATTTGAATAGCCATTTATTGTAAATATTTTAGTATGCCTCAAGGAGAAAAAAATTATTACAACTACTTGAAGTCGTTGACCATTGCATCAAAGATTTTTCTTGACATTTCCATCTTAGCTGTGTTTCCTTTGTTAACCCCAGTACAAGTAATAATAATAATTCACAGGTTACAGGTAGCTGGTGTGAAGGATATAAGTAACTCTTGTAAAAAAAGAAAAGGGATTGGCATGTATGTGTGCCATGACTAACACATCTATGAAATGACATTTACAATTTAGTTCATGAAAGCTGATTTGAATTTAAATTGCCTGTACATACAAGACCTGGGTATGAAACAGTTAAGAAACATTTTAAATTGCCTTAATTTCCATCACTAATGATGTATTAACTCTTTACTCTACAAATATGCTTTTTAAAACTTATTTTTTATATTTGGCTAAAGCTGGACCCTTTTTTATTCTGAATCGGGTAGTGAATTTTATAATATTTAGGTTATGTAGCATCATTGATAAATGAAGTCCAGTATTTGACCCTTTTAAACTTTATGTGAAGCACTATTTAGTCAAGTTGATTTTGTCTATTTGGCTGTGTTGGTGTGATCAGAGGTGTAGATTAAAAAATGTTGTTTACAATTCGCTTCTGTCATTTTTATATGTATGGCTGTGAGAGTTTTGATGATGTGATGCCTCCATCATCTTGGAACGAGATCTTTTGTACCCTGTAATACTAGTTATCCATGTTCATTACATTCTCTTTTTGGTTGACCTGTCCACAACATTAGATAGTAAAATTTGTTTCTGCATTCCTTAGCTTTAAAGGGATTGTTTAATGCTTGTCTTAGAAAAGCAGAATGGTAACCAAGATTGCCTAGGATACTGGCAATGGATGGTTTCAAATAATAACTTAATTAAAAATTAAAGTCTTCAATTTTATGCATGTACAGACAAAAACCAAAATTTCCCATTTTGTGAACAATAGTACAGGTTACTTTTTGGTGAAATGTTCTGTGCTGATCACATTTCGGTGCACACACCTGCTGTCAGGTGTTTGTGAACAGGTAAATCATTTCCAGGTCTGTTTTCCAGCATGGTGTTCTCTGTGAGAAATGTATATATCCTGGCAGTTTGGCTTAGACTTGTATATTACACATGGGAAGCATATATCTAATATTACTGCTAAGGCCTGAGGCTAGCCGTGTTTTTTCACCTCAGTTGATGGACTGTGGGTCATTAGGTCAGGGGTCAGGTGTATCTCCATATAGGTGAACTATTCTGGGCCGTATGCAATGTCTGCACACTGGCAGAATACCTTGATTTGGCATAGGAAATGTAGTTATTTAGGTATGAATAGAAGAGATGGAAAGTGATTTGTTCTTTGCTGCAACATGCTTGCCAAAAAATTGATGCCCTGTTCTCTCTAGTAGAGTTTTGTATTACCTAGCAAGGGCACTAAATAATGTCACCCAAGATAAATATTTGACCTAGCCAAATAGATTAAGCTTAGGCAACCTTTAATAAATTTGGGTCAGGGTGGCATAAAGTCCCTGTCTATTTATAAAAATGCAGTCAAATGTAAATATTTCACTATTGAAGACTGCAAAGGGGTTATGTAATAATATAGATAGATAGTCTTTTGATGTGAACCACAGAATTTTTCAGGTAAGAAGCAAGGTTGGAGTATCATTGTAAAATTATGAAAAAAAAAAGAAATAATGTAATGAATAATGCCAAAATGCTTAGGATGTAAATTGTCTTCATGTGTTTTTAATTTAATTATTATTGTTTTGATTAAGGAACTATTGGGAAGCGTTTTTCTCCTATCAATGTGGAGAACACTGAAGAAAATCGCCGTCTGTATCGACAGCTCCTGTTCACAGCCCCCAAGGAGGCAGCAGAGCACCTGAGTGGAGTGATCATGTTTCATGAGACACTGTACCACAAGACAGACGATGGCACCCCATTTGTGAAAGTGTTGAAAGACAGTGGAATCATCCCTGGCATCAAGGTGGACAAAGGTGTTGTTCCACTAGCAGGCACTGATGACGAGTGCACAACACAGGGTAAAGCAAACCCAGCTAACACTATGCAACACTTAGCTAAGTGAGAAAACCCTTCTATAATTAAAAAGGATAAGTATCCTGTTGACCTGATGACCAAAAAATATTTTTTACCCAGAAAATGGATGTTCTCTTGGTAAAAATCACTTAGTTGTCTTAGAACTCACAAGTATAGATAGGTTTGATTAAATGTAAATATCAGTGACAGGATAAATATTTTGATAGCCTTAAAATTTTTTCAGGGCTTAGAACCAAGTTGTTCATTTCCATTGCACATTACATGCACATTACAATGTTTGCACTGGCTCCACTCTAAATGCCAGTAAAATTTTGTAAATTTATATAATTGGTACCCATTCCTGTGTTATATTCTGGTGCCACAAAAGCCAACCAAATGCCACTGTATAGTTTCAAGTAGTATAACTTAAAGTAATACCAAAAGTTGTTGTTTTTAATCTTACTACCCGAAAAATGATAATTTAATGTATTTCTCTGCATGCTTTTTGTGCTATTTATAAATGAAATTTCTTACTTTTCTTGAAATTGCCAAAATGTGAACAAGACAGAACTGTACTGAAATGGGTTTATTTCCACTTTAACAGTTTTTTTTTTACATAAAACAATTAATTTACTGTATTTTTTTTAATGATCAACTAAGAAAATTGTTGAGATGTAAACAGCTAAGTTAATCAAATGAGCAAGTCAAATTTACGACCAAAAATTTAAAGAAGGTTCAGTTTAAAGCTCTTAAAATTTATCTCTTGGCATGTCGGCTTTATTTGAGTGTTTCAGACATTTGTATGAGTAGTTTATATTTGTTACTGGGAATCCCTGCCCCGCCGACACTGGACTTTAAAAAAAATTACTCCTGTTCAATGTGTGCTTCCTTATATTATGAAATATTTCATTATTAGATTGTCCCTGAAATATTGCTGGAGTGAGCTTGAGTTGTATTATATCATTTAATATAAGTTGGTATTAAAAATGTTATCCATGTGTAATTTTAAATTCATAGGTCTTGATGGACTGGCAGAGCGTTGTGCTCAGTACAAGAAGGATGGCGCCGACTTTGCTAAATGGCGTTGTGTGTTGAAGATCAAGCCACAATGTCCTTCATACCAGGCTATGCTTGAAAATGCCAATGTGTTAGCTCGCTATGCCAGTATTTGCCAGCAGGTGAGGAAAAAAGCAAAATTGGGTAAACTTGTTATGATAACACTGAAATCTTCGTAAGTAATTTTTTTTTTTTGGATGCTTTATATTGGAGTGTGTACTTTTCATGATAAAAAAGAAATTCTATGATGAGGTTTGAACAGTTGAAAAAAATTCATATAATTGGCAATTGTTGCTATTTTTGTTTTATAGAATGGTCTTGTTCCCATTGTTGAACCAGAGGTGTTGCCAGATGGAGACCATGACTTGGAGACTGCACAGAGAGTTACAGAGCAGGTATAGGACTTCTTTGAACATTTTTTGGTTAAGACTACTTCATGTCTGCTTAGGAAGGTGCTTAAGCATTGAAATGCTTTTTACGGTGTAGTTTCCAATGCCATGTCTTTTTATTATATATTTATTATCATTATTATTATTATTTAGGTCCTTGCATTCACCTACAAAGCACTGTCTGACCATCATGTGTTTTTGGAGGGAACACTCCTCAAGCCCAACATGGTGACTGCAGGATTCAGTTGTTCAAAGAAGTACACAGCAGAAGACATTGCCAGGGCAACAGTAACTACCCTGGCACGTACAGTACCAGCAGCTGTACCAGGTATGTGGCATGACAGGAGATGGGATTGTGTTTGCTGTGACTGGATGCCTAAGGCCAGTCCATAAAGTATCCAAAGTTACAAATTGGCCTTGGCAAAGACTTCTAAAAAAAACTGTCTTTAAACCAAGTCCATAGAGCAGATTGTAATTTTTTAAAAGTAAGAACAAAATGACATTTGCTAAAAATTGCTGTCAAACCATTCAAGTTGTACATTTTGTGTTAAGTTGTTAAACTAACCATTTATGAAAATATATTTCTAGGCATCACATTCTTGTCTGGTGGTCAGTCTGAGGAAGAAGCTTCAGTGAATTTGGATGCCATCAACAGATTCCCAGGCAGACGTCCCTGGGCCTTGACCTTCTCCTATGGTAGAGCACTGCAGGCCAGTGTGCTCCAGGCTTGGGGTGGAAAGAAGGAGAATGTTCCAGCAGCACAACAGGAGTTGGTCAAGAGAGCCACGGTAAATTTCCTTTTAGATTTTTTTGAATACAAAAAATAGTTCTGTTTTTTTTAATTTTAAAATGTTCTAGTAGAGCTTGAAATTTCATCTTATGATTTATTTTTTGGTAAGCAAGACTCATGACTGCCAGGTAATTTATCCTAAAGTCTTTATTTTATAGCCCAAAGTGATGCACTTACATAATTCATTTTTTTGTGAGAAGGATATAACATGGCTTTTGTTTTTTAGGCTAATGGAAATGCTGCCCTTGGGAAGTATAGTGGAGGTGAACAGGGAGCTGCTGCTGGCAAGTCACTCTTCGTTGCTGGACATGCTTACTAATTTCCCATTATTTCCCAAAAATTATTTGCAAAGACACTCAATGTTTACCTCCCAACAGTTATTAACTTGTCGAATTTGTGAAATTCAGATGTGAAGAGCATTGGACTTTATGAAGTGCTTTGGATCCATTTAATGTTGTAAAATATCAGACTTCTAATTATGCTGGCACAAAATGCTTCTGTGCGTAGATAACAAAAGGATATAGACTCATAAATGTTCAAAAGATGCACTACTTTGATCAAATGGTTCCAGCACAGAAATAACATTACATATACTAAAAGGGCGTTTTCTTAGAGATAATGTAATTTTAAGCAAATTCTTTGTGGGACTGTGTTTAAACTAGGCAATGAACTTCTTCCATGTATATGTCTATCTGCCAAATAAATGTGTAATGAAAGTGGCTCATTCAATTGTTGGTTCATCTTTTATTCTCATATCAATTATTTTTACAATACACATTTTCTTAGTAAAAAGATGAAGCTCTTGATCTTGGGACTTGCTCCAGATCTGAATATTTAGGCGTAAGGTTGCCTTTGCTGAAGATATCTCAAATGTTGAGAAATGGCAGGGAGCATTCTCTCTAGGCATGCAACATTGTGCCATTTTCAAGCCATCCAAATGAATCATTAATTTGGCAAGTAGTTGAATCAAGATGACAGCTGGCATGCCTGACATTTACCACACAAGCCATAAAGTATAAGATGATAATAAGACTTCTTTGTAACAGGTGGCAATGGTACGTAATATCTTTTATTCAAATATGCCCTCTTAATGGGTGAGAAAATATTTTTAAAAGCTTTCCATTATTCATGAAAATCTTCCTAGTACACTTAACAGCTTATTAGAAACCTGCAATATTGAGTTAATCATGTTTTTTACATCTTGCCATATTTCAGTAGCAGTGTGTTAGCAGTAATGCTGCTACTGTGTTAGCAGTAATGCTATGTTGGTGGTTGTTACTAACGCTAAAAACACTGTGATTACCGTGCCACCTGTTCAGTCCAAGGAGGAGGTAAAGAAGGGAAAATGATTGGGGTTTTTAACTTCTCCCCTGACAATAAATCGAACATCCCTCATTATCTACTGCACTTATACTATATATATACTGGTTTCTTTCGCCCCTCTTCTTTAGTCTTATTCCAGTTTCCTTTATATTGTCCACCTTGTCACCTCTTTTCCACAGATCTCAATTGTTTCTTTTTCATTCTCTTTATTTTTGCTGTATTTTTTATCTGGAAGGAACAATAAAAAGCGTAACTTTGACATCAACAAAAACTGTTACAATTCAGTTTATATATTAATATATCTGACTTAAGAGAGCAACAATGTCCTTCACCAAATTATTAATTTGTCTTCAACTTGCAGACTATCAATCCTAATGCTAATCTTACAATTTCAATGCTTCTGACAGTGCATGATTCCCAAAAGAAAATTGTCAAGTCCCTATATGTTGCTAGGACTCTACCATAACATATTCCTAAACTTGCATGACAGTCAACTAGATGTCTGTATTCTTTATTTTTAAAATAAACCTGGGATTCCCCTACCCTAGCACAAAATTCATGTGTTAGCTCTCCTTTTTAAGGTATCTGATATGTACTAGCTGTGCTAACGCATGAAAACAAAGGCCTCATAAAGTGAAATGACAACCAGTGTGGCATCCATCATGATGCAGGAACTCTCAAATTTTTATATTACTGTCATCCTGCAAGCTCCTGCAAAGCCAACCATTTTTCCAATCGATTAACAGTTTACTGACACAGGGGACTCACAAAAGAGCTAAGGTTTCAGATCAATACTTACTTTATTAAAGTGCACTATTATGGATTTATCTTGAACTGATATATATATATATATATATATATATACCAAAATTTTGGTCTTAAGTTAAAACCATTTCTGGTCTGGTCTATAGCTATTTTATGAAACAAGTCCCAGGCTGTAAAAATACACAATTTATGTTTTCCTCCAGTTGAAAGGAGGATCAAGTCACATAAACAGTTGAAATATACCATAATACATTTCTTTTGTAAAACAGGAATGTTAAAGCTAAGAAACTTACTGGCTGGACTATCTCTGCTTTGCGTTCATTTTCGAGTTTTCTCTTCTTATTTTCTTCCTGTCTTTGCCTTTTTTCCTATTAAAACCCCTTGCATATGTTAATCACTTGAAAAATATAGCTAATGTTCCTTTTAAGACATACAATAATACAAACTGCAAATTACAAGTTAAAGGGATAATAACTCTTCGTATGAGATCTATATTTCACAACAAAAACATTGTGAAAGACCCATAGAAATATAATATATTCTGTTTTATCACAAAAACGGCAGTTATAGCTATAATTCTGATATCTGAGCTTGTCTTTAGACCACGTGACCTCCACTGATGGCTATACTTTGTTAAAATCTCTTAAGAGATTTTAACAAAAAACCAAACTTTTTAGAGAAAAACCAGGGACCAACTTTGAATGTAAAAATGGATTCATTAACCACTGGTAAGTATGGGAAAATTGTTGTTTACTCCAGGAAAATTCATTTTTTGGCCGAAACGAAGAGTTATTATCCCTTTAATCAAAGCTGACTTTTTTAAAATTCTTCAAACAAATACAAAAACTATGGTAACTCAAACAACAAGCTGGTCAGAAAACTGAAAGCACCTCTTTTCCTCTTGCCCTAGCTGTTTTTAATTCTTTCTCAAAATCTTTTAATATCCGCTGCTCCTTTCTTTGCCGCATCTTTTTCTGCCATGAGGTCTTTAAAGTTTTTGGTCTGATGGTGTCAGAAAATCTGCAAATTTGAGGAAAAGATATAATTTGATATTGATTGAGACACAACAGATTCACAACTAGAGGATCAGAGATATGAGGGCACAGGTCCTCATAGTCCATGTGGAGATGTCGTAACTGTGACTTGTTTCCAGAGGCAGTAGACAAGATGGGTTGGAGGTAAAACCATGAGTAGTACCAGCGCTCATGCTTGAGGTACTCCCCCAAATAATAAAGATCTGGCCGTTCCTCACAACACAAAAATTAAATTTTACTTATAAATACAACGGGTGCTCATTTATATTCATATGTTTGTACTATTATATGATATATAATGTAACTATACTTAACAACATAACTTTGTCAACTGTCAGGCTTAACACATTCCTATCAGAGGAAATGCACTTAGATACTGCAGTTTGCATGATAATATTCCTGTACTATACTGAGGTCAGGTGAAATTTGTGGGTATTTTTTTAAAACACCCATAACATGGGCACAATCAATTTCGCACTTCCTTACTTCTGAGTTTTAGGAGTTTTCCAGACCCTTCCAGATTTTGGCCTACCACGTGGAGGCTGGAGTGTCCTTTCTCTCTTGACATTTTCCTCTTGATCCATATCTGAAACAAACCTATTGCTTTAGCAAATCTATGATTTTACATTTCACAATAACATTATATATATACTTTCTAAATCATCATGCATATATCAAGTAAAAATATTACTCCAATCATGTACACGTATAAAATTGCAGATGTAAAAATCCCACTCCTTCCTATCAAAATACTAGAGACAAAAACATTTGGCTATGCCAAAATGAGAAAAAATTGCTCAAATCATTACACAATATCCAAAATAAACATTTGTATTTTACATTCCCCTCTCTCAAATTGCACTGTAAAATTAATAAAAAAAAAGGTCTGATTAAAATTATCAATTGGCAATATTTCATGATTTATCATGATTTAGAAAGCCAAGAAGCATAATATTATTCAGATACTGATGACAGTGATGTACCAATATCATCAGCAACCATCAGTTTTTACAATTTAAAATGCCTCCGAACTTTATTACAATTGGCGATAATTACTATAGTAGTACTTTCTTAATGTTAGTGTCAGAATAACACGTCAAAATGATGCAGTCCGTCAGCACCAGATTACTGCACCTTGGAATCAGTTTGTTTCAGTGAAAAGCTTAGACTACGGTAAATAATTACAAGTTACTGTGGACAGCGTAACAGTCAGTGTCAATTTAGTGGATGAAAGTTTGAAGTTATTTTTGTTGATTTTACGTCCTATATTGTCTAAAAATTAAAATAAACCTGCCATTGCATTTGCGAGCTTTAGTTACACGGTTATACCACCCAATCAAGTATATATCAGTTGAATTACCTTAGCCTTTTTCAGCAGTCTTTCTTGTTTACTAACCCACGTGTGAGCGGCTGCAACTAAAAGGTGGATAGTATTTCCGGTAGTAAATTACTTATCAATAGTCAATTTATCGATACATTTTTTGAAAACAAATAACAAGAATTGGCATTCAAATGAGAATTTAGTTTGAAGTGTTCCTTTCAAGTGCAGATTTTTTTCAGTGGGGAAAATAATGTAGATATATTCAGACAAGTTCTCAAATTTACAATGCTCTGACCAACATACGGGTATTGAGAAAAGATTATTCGAGCTAATGGATGGCTTGGCGAACTACGGAAGTGAAGATGACGAAAATACTCAAGAACCCCTTGTTTCTAAGGCTGAATCAAAGGTAGAGTAAAGAAAGCATTACACCCATTGCATATAACAAATATCTGATATAATGATAGTTTATACAAATGCTTAAGATATAAGACGAAATTGCGTCTTTATTTTGCCCGCCATGTTTTTATAAACAAGAGTTAAAATCAATTTTAACATTTTATGGCTTTTGCCAGTATTCAAACCCATAAACAATTCCCATTTATAATTCAGATTTAAACCTAGGGGAATGTGTTTATGATATGGCACATATATTTTGGTAGTGGAACGGCAGAGAGGCATTTTCAATACGTGACACTAAACGAGAGAAAATTCCTTTTTTTTTTTGGTAATTCGAGAGTATCTTTTATAAAACTCGAAAAAATTCAGAAGAACCTTGATGTAACTAGTTATTTTTGCTTATTTCTGTACAATGAAGTCAATGTTGACACAAAGACAACACCCATTAAGTTGGTTGGAGCTGTTGGATATTAAGAAGACCAGTGTGCGTGAGTATTGGGCTGCATGGTGGGCAGCCCTTTTCTATTTCATACTCATAAATTTTATGTCAAAGAATCATACTCTATATGGCCCCCTCATTTCTTGCTTGGGTAAAATGTATGTGTATCAAAGATATTCCTGTTTTGGAACTAAGGATTCTACAATTGTTGCTTAAAAAACAGAAAAGGTTTGATGAGGAGGGTCATTTCATAAACAGTCTGAATGGAATTTAACATGCATAGATGTTTTTTTCAGGATGAAGAAGTTGAAAATGTGAGTGAGACACAAGCCCAGCAGTCTGCTAGATTAGAATCTGAATGGGAATCTTTTGAGAAGCTCTTTGACCTGGGTGGTGATGGCAAAGACCCAAGTGATGGCCCACAGCAGCAGCAAGGTACCGGTGAAGGAAGCAGTCTTTACCAACCTAGGTCCAGATCGGTGTCATCAGAGTCCTCTGGAGAGAGTGACACAGGTGAATTCTGTGTGAACTTTGCTCTTTGTAGTTTTGTTCTCTATTTTCAAGTTGAAATTAGTATTTTTTGTCACCCATGATATTTACAAAGTCTAAGTGCATTTATTATTGAATTGATATTTCATGAATAAACTAAAAAATTCTTGAATTTGAGAAGACTACTTGAAATTTCTCAGATGTCAAGGATTTTTTTCATACAAAACTTTAAAATTGTACTTGTTATCATACATCAGTTTTCTTCAGTACTGCTTAAAACATGTAGGTAATATCCTGTTCAAAATATATCATGATTTATATTTCTAGAAACAAACAGAAGAAGTAGGAGTCCAAAGGTAAGGGTTTTTGATTTACTTTTCTATCATGATAATGCTGTCTTAAGTATTTTAATAGTTTATCTTGACGTTTTTTCTGAAATTTTGAAGTAAAAAGAACTAAATAAATAACTACTTTCAGATAAATAATTATTTCCAGATAAAAAAAAGAGTAAAAACTATTCAGCAGTTGTTTTTATTTACAGAAAGCAAACAAAGATGTCCACTCAGACTCTTCGCGTTCTAGGTCCCATTCAAAAGAAAAGGTACCTGAATCTGACAGTTTATTACGATTTTTATATACATACATACAGAACTTTAATGTAATGGCTTTTTTTATTATAGTATGTCATACTTAAAAGCTTTAGAAGTTGTTGGATCTGAAGTTGTGATTAAGTAAGTGTAGATGATCTACTGGTTAATTGTTTGGTAGTCTCTTGTTGAGTCATGCATCCACAATCCTTAAGATACCTGTGGCCAACGTGCAATAAAATTTATGAAATTCTTCATCCTTCTGAATTGAAGGTGCCAATCAAATTGATTAAGTTGTACACCATGCAAATACACTATTTCACCTGTAGGTCACTTACCATCTTTGAAAATGGAAGTGGTCACTGCTATCAAGTGCCTATAGGAAAAACAAATGGAGGCAATTAATCCAGTTTTGAAGCGAGTTGCACATGCACATGCTCTTCCTTCTTTTCTGGACTAGGCTACTTGCTCCTAGGGGAGAAAAAAATAGCCTCATTGCAGTACTCATGTCTACCTACTTATGACAAATTTAATAGGTGAATGCATTCGGGCATTGATTTGAATGAATTTGTGATAATTATCACTGAAAAAACTCTGCTTACAGTATACAATTTAGTTATATAGAGAATTTACTAAATAGTGAATTAGATGTAAAATCCAAGTCACATGTATGCTTAAATGATAATAGGAGCAAAAATTCTCTAATTATCTTTCAATATTTACAGCGTGATGAGAATGACTCTGATGTGTCGTCGAGGTCCAGATCAAGATCCCCTCAAAAAGAAAGTTGTAAAGTAGGAATCAAGATTGAAATTTTGCATTAATACATTGTCAATTTTTAAGATACACTTTAATGAAATTGATATTAAGGATATTAAGCTTTTCTTCTGATACAATAAAAACAGTCCTGCAAGTAAGTTGCTGTTAATTTCAAAAAGAAAAAATACAAGTATTGATGAGGTGTTTTCTTTTATTTTTCAGAGGGACAATAAAGATTCTGCTGAGGAAGAGGGTACTAAAATTACAGAAAGTGAGAATGTGGGTGACTCTGGACTTGCAACTGATAAAAAAGACAATGTCAAGAAAAGTTTGAGTAGAAGCAGAAGCAGAGACAGATCCAAACATCGTAGTTCAAGTCGAAGTAGGAGCAGGGAAAGATCTAAAAGAAGTGGCAGTAGAGATAATAAATCCAGTAGAAATAGAGACAGAAAGCGCAGTCGAAGTAGAAGCAGGGACCGCAGGAAAAGAAGGCGACGTGTCAGAAGCAGAAGGAGTGGAAGCCGGGGAAGGAGAAGAAGATCTGGAAGTCGACACAGGAGGCACAGGAGGAGGAGTCACAGTAGGGATAAAAGACACCGAGGTCGTAGGCGCAGAAGTGGTAGCCGAGACTATAGAAGTAGGAGCAGAGACAGGGACAACAAACATCGCATGAGGAAAAGAAGTCGAAGCATCACTAGAGGTGACAGAACAGCTGAGGGTAAAATTCAGAGAGGACCAGGAGCACAGCGTGAACCACAGAAAGCTGACTTTAAAACTCAGCTGAAAAATGAATTGAAGAAGGCAGCACAGGAGGCTATGGCTGGTAAGAGTTTCCATGTTGTTGTTACTCCATAAAACAATAGATATAATTTTGTGTAAAATGCTAATCTAGGTCAAACTTTTTTTGTACATTAAAGTTTTCCCTTCAAATATAAGAATCGAATTGGTATTCATGATAAAACCTCTTATCTTGTTGAACACTAAAAATGGACTTTTTGAGCATGTTCTCTTACAAATTATTCAATAATCTTTTCAGCAAACGCAGATGAAAATTCAGGTAAAAATGCAGCAACAGGACTCCCTGCAGGTAGTAATGTGACCCCTCAGCAAGCTTTGATTCAGACAATGATGGCCATGCATCAAAAGGTAAAGTTAAAACAAATTGCATATATCATTCAAACTTGCAATTTTGTGTGTATGCTGATATAACTGTTCCTCTTGGAATTCTATACTTACAACTGATTTGCACTGTCTAAATTCAATGTCCTGGGTGCCAGTCATGATATCAAGGAAAATGTGATCCTTTAAATCTTTTAAAAGTTAAATTTCAAATATTAATATCTCCTTTTTTCAGGCCCAAGAGTTGACTGGTGTTCAAGTTCCCAAATACTACAACATTGGTGCAGTGAATCCTTTGAAGTATGCTGAACAAGTGCAGAAGAGGAAACTTCTTTGGTCAAAGGCAAAAGAACACAGAGAGGTAAGCAATTAGAAGAAACTACATTTTGGGCAAAAAGAGAAATTACAACTACATTAACTCATGATGAATGTAAATACTGCACTTTCCTGATTGACTCCCAAAATCAGGCAAGCGTATACCCTATTTAACCAAATACCATGTTGCTTTGTTCCACGTAGCTTTATTTATTTATATATACCTATTATTTGCAAATAAGAACAGATGCCAGGAATTGTAATTTGTTTTACAATTCAACTACCACAGTTTTGTATGCCAGTGATGTTTTGGATACAATTCAGTATTTACTGTGCAAACCACAAATTTTATCAGTTTAAAAGACTGATGGTCAAGCAAAAAATTGACAAATTTTCTTTTAAGACCACTAGAAAAATCCGAGACGGGTATAGAATTAGTGGATTGGCCTTCATAGCTTTGAGAAGTACCAGCAAGGTCTTTTCCAGTAAACTATTTGGAAGGCAAATCAAACTAATAATGCCTTATCTGGTGATATAATTCGATGTTGTATTGAAATGAATTGCATCTCTCTTTCAGGAAAACAAAGCAATCTGGCAGGGCACAGAGTTTAATCAGGATAATGATGGGAAGATGGCCAACAAATTCCGTAAGTTGATGGGACTGAAAGAGGGAGATACAGCAGAAACTTCAGGAACTGCCATTACATCTGAAGCCATGCGTAAAAAACAGGAAGAACTGTTTTCTAGATTGGATAAAGAATACGAATTTGCTAGGATGACTACACATACTCATAGAGGAGTTGGACTGGGTGCTTTATCACATGGGACACCCGACCCACAATTATTGCAAATGCAGCAGCAGCAGCAACAACAACAACAACAAAAATAAAGATACTATCTTAGCATATTACAAAAGCAATCATCAAAGCATTAATAAAAGCTTTTTTTTATCCAGACAGTATTGGATTTCGTGAAATAGTTTTTGCAACAAGTCTGATGGTTTTGGAGAACAGTTGATCGTGATCCATTGAGATGCCTATGCACTAGAAACTTTTTGATTCGGGTTATGACAGACTGGTGAATGCTACCTTACGGAGCAATGACATTATATTACTCGACTTGGCTTATCCACTGCAAGTGGAAATCAAAGAAATTGCATTATATGTGAATAAATTCTTCTAAGAAGATCAGGAAGTGTTAATCTGTTTTAAAGAGAACCTTAACACAAAAATTAAAATGAACAGAGAAGCAATACAAATACTTTTATTGCACATTTCTTGATAAATGACAATGGTTGATTATGCAATGTTTGAAAGTAAGAGTGGGGGGGAGGGCTCAAGTTTTTATCCTTTGCTACTATACATAAGTAATGACAACTTTTAGACATAGTAAAGTTGTCATCTTTGCAAAGAAATGTTCAGGAACTAAAAAGTGGGACTTCTGGTTTCAAAACTTCCTAGTAATGATTAAAATCTGTATTCAAGTCCTTAAAGCTAACAGACATTTCAGATTTGTTATTGGATATGAACGGCAATAGTATACGAAGCCAATATCTTCTTTTAAAAAACTTATACCAAATAGAACAAAAGATACAGGGTTTATGGGTTGAAAACTTGGTCTACCAAAGGTTTTAGAGTCCCCTTAGATTTGCGGGGGTACAGTCATTAATTCTCGGCTCCATTGGGACGACACATAGGGAGGCATGTGAGAGGCGGAGAGACTATTAAAAGAGTAGGCGGTTTTTCTTTCATGTGCATCTGCCATATTTAGTTCCAGGATTTGTAAAGCCATGGCTCAACTCGTGAATGCAATCTTAGTCTATTCTGAGTCAAGCTTTTTAATAACATTTTTTTCAAGGAAAATTGTTTTTTTCATCTCTTAGTTGACCTTGCCTGCTTAATGCCAAATGAAGAGGTACTTCAGGAATGATAGTTTTGAACAGAGTATCTTAATCGTACTTAATCATTTGGTGTGAGTTATTTTTAATTATATAATACATATGTACATATTGTGACCTGATAAAGCCATGCTTTCTATAAAACACTTCCTTCAATGAGCTCTGAAAAACGTTAATTATTCCTGCCTTCAGGAATCCAATAATCAACCCTAGGAAAATTTCCAGCTTGTGTCACGACAGTTCAAAGCCAGTATTGCTTGTGATGGCATATCTCAGTTTTTCCCTTAGCGTACTTTTCTTTTGATAGTTTGGCAACTTGAGAAGGTTAAAACATGTGGATGAAGTCGGCAGTCTCCCAACAGGATCTTTCTTGCGAATATTGAAGAAGCCTTTCAAAACGCTGCCCACTGTGTCTCCAGTATCCTGGGAAAAAGAAGATACAATTAAAATAAATCCAATTTTCTTAAAAAAATTTATAAATATAATCAGTGATATGTTAAGATGACAGTTTATAGTTTACATAGTATTACCTGGTCATCACTGACTTCCACACATCGTATTGAAAATGGGGGCTCCAGGTGGGCAAAACCTAGCAATGGGGGCTTGGAGCAACTGGTCACAAACTGAAAGAAAGAAGATTGCAAATAAAAAAATTCTGTGAAATAACAAAAATATTTACATACGGAAATAAAATTTTCCCAGTGTTATTGAAGCCAACTGTTGTTTAAAATGTTGAGATTTTAACCCACCTTAAGAAACAGACTTCTTTCTTCTCTGGTGAAATCTTTCACTAGGATGTCCCACAGCCAGTTCACCACCTTATGACTACTATGAAAACCACCATAGTACTGAGTGTGGGCTCTGCAGCAAATATACAGCATTTTAAAATGTTTTATGTACACTGCATGCATTCTAACTGCATACTCAGATACAGTGTTTTGCTATATCTAATTAAATCAGTAGGTCATTTTAAATATAAAAACTACATATCACACCACACTTATTACTACTCTTTTCATTTTGAGTAACACCAGGTAATATATAAATGCTCACTTTAGGTCTTCAATGTCCATATCTGTGTTGTCCCCAGATATAAGTTTCTGCAGTTCAGGTGCTGAGAACATGAGCAGCCAGTCTGGGTTCACTATAGACTTGAAGCCACGGATAAAGGCTGCTGTCTGTTCCTTGATCTGGNGCACATGCATGCGGAAATGAGCCATGTGGTGAACATAGCTGATCCTGAGGAGAAAAATGGCACGAAATACATCCTACTTTCCTGCTTTAATTGCCACAAGATAATGTCACATTAAACTATTGTCCACTTAACTCAATATTACACCCACCAAGTTACGACAACCGTTTTAATGTAGTTATTTACATGCATTCTCCCTTGTAGCAATTCGGTCTTCAAACAAAATTGCATATGTCTCACCTGTTACCATGTTCAATTAGCACTTACTTGTTCTCATTTGTCACAGATATGGCTTTCCCTCCAGGAACCAGCTCATGTGTGACTAGCTGGCCTAGATAGTCTTCACTAGAGGAAAATGTCAATTCGATGTCACAAACATCACCTTCATAATGCTGGAAAGTGAGATCAAAAATTATAATGATTTGTCTCCATTTATTAAACCTTATTTGATATAACTACTATTAATTTTAGACTAACACATGTAGTTTGTATTGAATTTTGAAATAATCTCAAATCAATGTTAAAATATCACAAAGAGATCTAAACTCAGTTAAAGCAGACAAATTTAGCGACTCTAATTTTGTTTGAATACCTTAATATAGGTGAGGTTCTTATAGAGCTCTGGATCTAAAGATGGCAGCTCATCCATAAAGCTGTATGTACTGCTGTAGGTTCTGCCCAAGATCTGAGTCAGGAAAAATGGTGCAAAGGGCACATCCACCACAATACCCTGTAAGTAGAGATGTGGCACTGTTTTAACTGTGACAGTCCCTCACTAATATCCAAGGAAATGTAAATAGTAATGTGTCAGGAGTGCTAAAGGACACCAAGATTTACGGTTTGCAGAGAGACCCCCTCTCAAAATTCATATAACTTTCAAATAAATTAAGTAACAGCATGGCATTTATCATGCACAGACTCTAGGTTTGTTGTTGGAGCCCATTTGGGGCAATTCAACATAAAATTATTTACTTAAAATTTTTAGAGTAGAAGTAAAAATTTGATGCCACACTGAATACCATACCTCATATACAGCTTTCCCAAGCATCCTTCCCACAAACTCAAACAGTGTCAAATGATTGTCCTGTATTGCTGAAGTAGGAGAAGGGTACAACTTCTGATCACTTGTCACCTGAAATAGATCCCAGACATTATTGGCTTTGCTTCAGATTATAGAATTATTCTGTAATTTTTCAATATTGATTTACCAAAGTACCATGCATATAGTTTTTCACAACAACATATTGAACAAATTTTTTCCTCGCACATATAGTATGATTAGTCTCTCATATCACTGAACAATAGAAACAGTGTTGCATCTACTACCTTGAACAAATTAAGTGCAGGATCAAACACTCTTGATATTGTCTCCTCCAGGAATTCCTTGAACACTCCATCTTGATCTATGCCAGCTTCGTCCAAACCCTGAAAACAAGCATATTTTCAGTGACAGCATACAGCCAGGTCATAGAATGGTAAACAGGACTATATGTCATCTTTACTACATTCTGATAACATTTTGCATCATTACATGAATCTGCCATTCATTAGAAAGAAAAGCTAAAAGCTATTGGATTAAAATGTTCATTCAACCAATTATTGAGTGAGGATCTTTATTAAGGCATAGAGAAGCATGTTAACTGACCTGTGCATTTATGAACCTCACTCTGATGATTCCCTTCAAAGCACCTGGTGGCACCAGAGACAGCTGTCTGTAACCATCCTAACAAGACAAACAACTCATGCCATTGACTGATTTTTTGGGTGTATTCTCCATACCAAAGCCACCTTATTGATAAATCATCACTTTTGGTCTCTTTGTCATTTTTACATATACCAATATGTACCAATTTCCCAAATATTTCAAAGTGAAATAAACATATGCTTACCTCAATGATCCTTGCCCTATGCACAGTGACTAGAGTAGAAGTGGGGGATGCACACACAGACTCTGTAAGGCCCAACACTTCTTTTTCTTTTTGTACATTTTTTCTAAATAATATAACTCTCTGAAAAATAAAACCAACATTAAAAAATACTTGTAAGTAAAATGTATATTAATATGATGGTGTGGTATGATGGGGTATTTTCTCACTTGTAAAATGGCATTTTCTAACCTTTTTTGTGACTAGTCATATAGGATTTTCTTACCTCCTTATGTGGTATGATATGTGGCGTTTTCTGCAACAAAAACTGTGCAGTCTTTCTGCCTCGGTCAAGTTCCTGAAGGAATGTACTTGGCTTGATGTCCCTATAGTGTTACAAACATAGATTATACACAAAATATAACATACAATACAGATAATGCAATGATATAAAAACTGCCAATTACAATTTCAAAATAGGATATAATGCAATTTTGTTAATATCCTGATTGCACTTTATTTCCTTCAATATAATTTGAAATTTGAAAGTTCCCCTCAATGAACTTATAATACTATTTGGGTATTATCTATTCTTAGATATAGACCTTATTAGCCAGTGTTTATCTGGGGTGAAGGGTCTCCTGCAGTCTCTCTCATACAGTAACATGAGGAGAGTGTGTGGAGAGGAAAATAAGGGGTTGCTAGCAGCAGTTGTCACATCTGAAATCAGTAAAAGAAAATTACATTTATAGATTTATAATCCATTTACAAAATATGTAAAACATCTAGAAAATGAATATTGAGCAATGAACCTTTATTTTGATAATGATTATACTTTAACTTTCAACAAAAACGGTTAAATTTGCAAAAATCTAATGAAGTATAATCACTCCAATATGGCATGATATAGAAATTGACTATACTGACCAATAAGATTGTTCCACACAAGCTTGAAGATGAATTGGTTAAGAAATGATGTCATGGCAACTACATTTTCTAATTTGAAAGGTTTTTGCTGCTCATACAGTTCCACATCATCAAGTATTCTGAAATATTAAATATAAGGCACCAGTATTATGAGAATATATTGTATGGTGTCACTTATACTGAATCATTTTGAACTTCTGTATTGCAAAAAAAGACATAAAACAGGTCACAGTTTTATGCATTAGAAAAAAATACAAAGCACATAAACTAAACAATTAGAAGTGCAATTATTTAGGTACAAACAAAGATTCTTCTATAGTTACTTGTTTGATTACTGAGGCCAGCACTTACACAATAAGATGACTAGCAGCATCACAGAAAAGAGTCAGCATCTGGAACACTGGATGGTGTGTGTTGTTTGGAGATGAAGTCAACAGCTCAATGAAGGCATTCAGGCCACAGTTGGGACCAAAATCACAGAAGAAAGACCAAAGGTTTGGAAGGAACAGATCTTGGTAGCTCAGTCCTGAAAGAATAAATAAGCAAATCATTTCATTGTGTTAAATTGCATTGTATCATATATACCACAACTTGGCAGTAGCTATCACTTATTTGATTAAACAGCAGCCTCAAAATTCAGTTCATAAAAAGCTCTTCTGGTAACTAGTTTTTATTTGCCTCCTGAAGATCTTTTCTGTTTTTTTCTAGGATGCCATATCCATTAACTAACAGTGTTATCCAGTCTGAGTGGTGAAGGTCTCAAAATGTAATTACCTGCCAGTATATCCAGTCTCAACTATGTGAGAGTCCTGAGAGCCCTCTGGTACATGTCACTTACCTGCCAGTATATCTAGTCTCAGCTGTGTGAGGGTCCTGAGAGCTGTCTGGTACATGCCACAGGCAGCACAAGTTGACAAAGCCACTGGACTATTCAACTTTATACGCACACTGCTACTCTTTGTGGACGCTTTCTCCAAAGCTTTCTTAATGATATCTGAATAAGGAAAGCCAAACGCACAAATATAATGATAACAGTCAACATACTAGATATTAAATTAAGACAAAATATAATTATTATACTCAACCTTTCATAAATATCTTCTTCTTGATAAAGACTATATTTGCTTATGGTTTCACTCAGATTTGTATGAAACAGAAAATTGGTCTCAATCAGAAACAAGGAAGTACAGAATGCAACTGATACAAATTATATTTACTTGTGCTTTTTGCCTGCTGTCTTGCTGCTGTCTGCTGTTCCTCCCTGGCCTTGCACTGGTTGTGGGCCAGCAGGTCAGATAAAAGGATCTTCACTATCTTGGGGCTCCACAGCAGCTGGAGCTGTTTGGTTACATATGGCATGGCTTCATGAAGACTAGAGTAAACACAGGCAATGAGAATCAATAAGTTTACTTTAATAATTTTTCCTTTCTTTTTTTTTCTTAATATTACCTTTTTATTTTATGGACTGGCTCTACACTTAACATATTTTTACCACAGGTCTTAATACAAAAAATGTAATTATTAAACTTTTTTTCTAAATTCATAGATTTTGGTGTTTTATTATACTTGCCTCTGGTCTGTCTTCTGTGAAAACCAGCCCAGCACAGGGTGCCAGTGTGTTAGGTTGGACTTCTTACTCTGAACATAACGCTCACAGCACTCCAATAACTTGTTAACCACATTCTACAATATGGAATTTGTAGCAAGTTATATAATTATCATATTACGCTCATTTTGCACAATCTCACATTGACAAGTTTGAACTTTCTAAGTCCAATTGTATCTGTTTGATTTATNCATACGGGTTGGGACTAAAACCATGTGCAAAGCTGGTGGTACAATTACCTGCGCTGGTGGTACAATTACCTGCCAGTATATCCAGTCTCAACTATGTGAGAGTCCTGAGAGCCGTCTGGTACATGCCACTTACCTGCCAGTATATCTAGTCTCAGATGTGTGAGAGTCCTGAGAGCTGTCTGGTACATGCCACTTACCTGCCAGTATATCTAGTCTCAGCTGTGTGAGAGTCCTGAGAGCTGTCTGGTACATTCCACAGGCAGCACAAGTTGACAAAGCCACTGGACTATTCAGCTTTATACGCACACTGCTACTCTTTGTGGATGCTTTCTCCAAAGCTTTCTTAATGATATCTGAAATAAGGAAAGCCAAACGCACAAATATAATGATAACAGTCAACATACTAGATATTAAATTAAGACAAAATATGATTATTATACTCAACCTTGCATAAATATCTTCTTCTTGATAAAGACTATATTTGCTTATGGTTTCACTCAGATTTGTATGAAACAGAAAATTGGTCTCAATCAGAAACAAGGAAGTACAACTGATCCAAATTATATTTACTTGTGCTCTTTGCCTGCTGTCTTGCTGCTGTCTGCTGTTCCTCCCTGGCCTTGCACTGGTTGTGGGCCAGCAGGTCAGATAAAAGGATCTTCACTATCTTGGGGCTCCACAGCAGCTGGAGCTGTTTGGTTACATATGGCATGGCTTCATGAAGACTAGAGTAAACACAGGCAATGAGAATCAATAAGTTTACTTTAATAATTTTTCCTTTCTTTTTTTTCTTAATATTACCTTTTTATTTTATGGACTGGCTCTACACTTTACATATTTTTACCACAGGTCTTAATACAAAAAATGTAATTATTAAACTTTTTTTCTAAATTCATAGATTTTGGTGTTTTATTATACTTGCCTCTGGTCTGTCTTCTGTGAAAACCAGCCCAGCACAGGGTGCCAGTGTGTTAGGTTGGACTTCTTACTCTGAACATAACGCTCACAGCACTCCAATAACTTGTTAACCACATTCTACAATATGGAATTTGTAGCAAGTTATATAATTATCATATTACGCTCATTTTGCACAATCTCACATTGACAAGTTTGAACTTTCTCAGTCCAATTGTATCTGTTTGATTTATTTTCCATAAGCATGGGCTAATAATATAGTTTTTGTCAAACAAGTCTAAAAACATTATATGACATTACATTTATTTCATTTCTGAAGCAAAAGTTCTTTTAACTTACCAAGAAATTTGGTGTACTTTCCACCAGTCCCTGTACAAAAAAGAATTAATTGTTACCTCATTTTATTTTATGCATTAAAAAATTGTATTAGTTTTAAGAAAATATTGTATAATCCAACTATTTTAAGTGCAAATAAACATTATATAAAAATTCATTTCAAAGAGTATTACAGAATAAATCAATCCATAAAATGCAAGCTGAGAATTCCCTGAAAAATATTAAGGTCTGTATAATTCAAAGACCCTCTCACCTCAATTTCTGCATCTGCCAGTTGAATGAGGTTGGCTGCAAAATATAATGACCATTAGTTGCAATGTTTCTAATCGATTAATCAAATCATAAAACATATACAGTATATAAACTGAATCAGCAAATCAATAAGACATTAAAACAAGTTATACACACAAATGAAATAAAAGACACAGAAAGATTCTTACCCAGCAAACACAAGGCATAATTTCCTTCCAATGAATTAAAGATTATCCTCGTGCTCTGCTCATTGCAGAGTAGGTCCAAGCTTCTCTTGAACATCCTGTGTGTTACCAACACTGAAAGACACTGCAGAGAAAAACCAGTGTTATGTTGCAGGGCACATGGTGATGATGATGATGCCAACAAACAGCGACAAATTATAATAAATCATAAAACCACAATGGCTTATTACATTATTTATTCATTTATTCTTTACAAATTGCAGACAGCTCTCTTCAAGACAGCCTGTAACATCATACATCTCACTACAAGTCTAACCTATTGACTAGTATTAACTTAGTGCCTGGGATAATATTACCTCTTGAGCCAGATGTGAAGTATGGTACACTACAGCGGGGACAGATAGGATATGCAAGAGGAATACTGTTAACAAACTGTCTGAGAAGTTGGCAGCAATAAGTGGCCTGAAACAGAAAAAAATGTCTCTTTTTATTAATGGAAATCAAAATAACCTGAACACTACTATCGCCATCCAGATGCATATATATTGGTAGTAAGCATGTAGTTTAAGATATTAGGAAATTTTTACAAACCTCACAGCCACTGTTATCACTGCTGAAAGTGTGCCTTTGGTAAAACTGGGCTTTGATCTGGCTAGACCTTTGATCAGCAAACTCTGAAAGGTATAAATATAACTAAATTAAAAAAATTCAATTATAATTACTGAAATTATAAGGATCAGAATATGTCACAATTAATGTTGGTATTCAGGAGGCAAAAACTTCAAACACTCAGTCTGTGAGGAAGATAAAGACAGCCACCTGCAGCAAGTGGGGATCCCAACTCAACCTTTTTAGCTGACGTGTATAAATACCATATATGTCTATCCCATCAATTTTATATGATATATCAGACCTAGGTGAGTGTTGAGTGTTTCCTTACCTGAAAGACAGGATACAATCCTCTAGAGTTAAGATGTCCCATCACATTGTTGCACAGCTGAGACATACCTGGTTTTAACGCCTCCCCTGAAAAACAAAATATTGATTTATAATATATACACAACAAAGCATTATATAAAATTTCCTACTAAACTTTTGATTAAAATTAAATCTGTAGTGAACTATTACATTTGCTATCAGTTACATGGCTCTCATTTATAATTGTACTATTACAAAGTCACTATATTCCATTATTATATTAATACAGTTACCTGCTTTCCCTTGTAAAATCTTCCAGGTTGTAGTACTGGTGAATGTGAGTAACATGTGAAGGTATACTGTGATTGCTTTGATACCAGACACAGACTCAGGCTGAAATTAAATTTATCAATAAATGTAAGTCTCAATGGTCAAAACACACACATACACGCACGCGCACACACACACACATTATACTTAGTAAGTAACAATGATAAAGATAACTGCTTTTACTTGGACATTCAGTTGATGTGATCACCCTGGCTCAGGTTTGTCTTACTTTGAACTAGGCACCAGAACTATCACAAAACAGAGCATTCATATTCACAGGGTAACACACACAGCCATGCAGAGCACTACTGTCATCCTACCTTAAGCACTTTGAGATATCTACAACAGTGCCACAACACTTCTTTCAACTGCTGGATCCATGCTACCACATGTCTCTTAGAGAGTGCAACAGACACATAGGAGAACTGCAAAAAAATGGCAAACTCCCATTCTAGTATGAGGAAAAGATAAACTCTTTCTGACCTGTAAGGAAACAGGTTGTTGCCAAGTATCGATTACACTATAGGGTAAACATTTTGAATTTCTGTCAGTTGTTTTTAAATAAAAAGTAAATGATGATAAACCCAACATCTTCCCTACCTTAACCTGGTCTGAAGACATGGTAAACAGGATGTACTTGCACAAGTACTGGAATTTCTGGGGAAATAAAATCAAATATGGTTCAGGTAAGTCTTTAGACTTTATTCCATATGCTTTCCAATTCACTTTTACTGATATAGTGAAATATATATTTACACCATTTTTTAATTTATATTTTCTAGGTGCTTAAGAGAGGTCACCTCTATCTTTAAATGAAACAATGGTGCTTCTTTTTAGTAACATGATCCACTTAAAAAACAGCATAGTGATCACCTCTGCATCTTTGTCTTCATTCAACAAAAACAGAAATCTCTTCACAACTGCAAAGGTCACCAAAGCTGAAGGTAGATAAAAGTAAAACCAATTGGTAATGAAAAAGGGAAATAAATACTAACTAATTATAATAAAGCAAAAAAAAAATCAAAGTGTATTATAAATAATAATCAATTTACCACAGCCATACATCAAGGAAGATATACACATACAGTATCTGTATAGTTTAAGATTGTGTTACAAACTTTCATCTTATCAATAAACTCTTTTTTAAAACTTTATCAATGATCACTTTATAATGTACAAGACCACATTGATACAAGAATTTTCCAGTGCTATTTCTTAGTGTCTTAGTTTCAGCATTGTTGGCAAGTTACCTGGTTTCAAGGATGGTTTGTATTCCTCTTCAGCAGAAGTGGGAATCTCTAGGAGGACATCCACTTCTCGCCTGCAAAAAATTTTTTTTTTTTTTGTAATTCTACTGCACCACATGCTTGACTAAAACTATAAAAGTTAATAAACAACATATTTTTTCCAAGTATTGTTCAATTAAAATGGCTTGCTTCTGCAGCTCTTTGCACCAACATAATTTTGATAGTATAATAGGTAAATTGCTGTATTAATTGTCTTAGTGTGTTGATTGAGTAAAAAAAAAAAAAAAAAAAAACTAAGGCGCCGTGCAATAATCTAGATGTACATGTATTTTTGTTTCTTCTATTCAAGTTGGATTATTGGTCTGTATATGTGATGTGACAGCGTATCAATCTGTGCACATTAGCACTGACCATGTGGTGAACTTTAGGTGGTAATGTAACAAACATGACAACATTTTGCTTTACTGACCATATCTCATTTCTGAGTCTTCTTCTTGAAATAAAGCCTCTTGCTGTTGCCTGAAACAGGGACAGATTAATTTTTATAGATATTTTACTAAAAATTGTTTTTCATACAACATTTTACGTGATGTATGCCTCATGCTTTGTGATATTTTACCTGTATTTTTACAGCTGCCTCCTCTCTCTGTTTCTCTTGTGCCCTCTCTTCCCTGGCTGCCTTGGCTTGTTCTAGAAAAGCAGTCTTTTTAGCACTGTCGGCCTTGGTAAACATAGTCTAAAAATAAAAAAATACACAAAAATAAAAATATATAATACTACCTAATTGAAAAGTACTTGAACATGGGGTGAGTGAAAGTAAAAAACCTTCCCATAAACGCAACCCCCTCCCCCTCCCTACCCTTGTCTAAAGGGTAGAGAGAGGGGGATGAGAACCATGAAACATTTATATCCTGGGCCCTAGTCAGGGAGAATAAGCACAGTTGTCATCTAATATGAGGTTTACACCACCTAAGAAACATTATTGATGTTCATTTGCTGTGCATCAAAAGTGTTGCAAACATACCTTTACCAGCGGCTTAGTGCGTCAAGCAGGAGGAAAACATAAACACGGTCGAGTTGAGTTGACGTCTTTTTTGTTGCTTCGATAGAACGCACCAATCATAGTCAGGAATTCTCTTCCGTGCGGAGTATAGAACACAAACACATTTCCGGTACACATGGTCCAGCATCGCTGTGGTGGTACAGACTTGATGTGTTAATTATGTCTAGGTTGATTGTGAAGGGTCTCCCTAAGGATGTAAGTACATGATAAACACGATTTATGAATGAAACCAACTAGAAAACACTAAGATTTAAAGAAGCACTTGGGATTTTATTTTTTGAAACAATTTATTTTGAACGTAAACATGAATTAACTTTCTAATAAATAACCAACCTTGCTTGCACTCTCCTTTAGTTGTCATCATCACACTAGATGTTCAGCGTTTATCGCTATATTGGTTATTTCCTTGCGTTCTCTTTAAGATTAAGGAGGAGCGGTTGAGGGAGTTGTTCAGTCACAAGGGCCACATCACTGACCTTTCTATGAAATATACTAAAGACGGAGTCTTCAGAAGGTTTGCGTTTGTGGGATACAAGACTGCAGAAGAAGCGGCTGCTGCACTGAAGCATCACAATAACACGTTTGTTAATACCTCCAAGATTGTGGTATGATATGCAGTTTTTGTACATGTACTTTAGCTTTAGTTTATAACTTGTATATAAATGAACTTTCCGGTGGATATTACAATTTAAAAAGCGCATTTGAAATTTGTTTGACAAAAGTGTTTGACAAAAGATAAATTCAGTAAATTCTGTCTAATTTTTGAAATTAAAGTAATCAGAAATAATTTCTAATTAATCTGTGAAATTGCCTTCAGTATTATATATTACCACAGTACTTAAGTATATTGTATTCTTTGTATTAAAATTTATTTTCTATTTTGTTATCAAAAAGGTTGAAGTTGCACATGACTTTGGTGATGCAAACAAACCCAGAGCATGGAGTAAATACTCCAAGGACAGCTCTTCATACCAGAAGAAAAACAGCAAACTGCAGGATCAAGATGAAAAGAAAAGTATTAAAGATTCTAAAAAGGTGAGACACAATATAGAAAAATGAAATGTAGACTGATTGTCATGTTTGCAAATATGAGATCAAGCATTTTGATATTTATCTAGTGAAGTGTGTGTATTTGATTTGATTATCAGTTTATCACAATTTGTTTGTATCAACAGAAACCATTCTGTTACTCACAAAATGTATTTTTTTCATGAGGAAAATGAAATCACTAATCTGTTATGATGTTCTATTGTGTGAAGTTAGTGCTGGTATAGAATTTACCTCATATTTTACAGAAAGCTAAGGAGATGAAAAAGAAAAAGAGGGAGGAAAAGATACAAAGTTTACTGGGTGATGTAAGTATTACTGCTATGAAATTACCTTTAATTGTGTTATTCTCATGTACCCATATTTAGTTCGAACACTCACAGAAACTATGTAGAATAAGAGAGCACTCAGAACAGATGATCCACAAACTGATCGGCTGACTAAATATGGCTGACCTCACTTAAAAGCAGTGCCCCTTAATACCCTGATGGTCTCCCCACCTCCACACGTGCCATTAAATGAATTAAATCTTGGCTCTGAGGTTTAATTGCAGCAGTAGCGCAGGTGGAGGCGTGAAGACCATCAGGAGATTAGTCGGTGTTGCGTTTAAGTGAGTGAGCCATATTTAGCCTCGGATCTGTTAGTCCGTGGATCAACTTGTTATAGCCTCATACAGATGCTGGACATATTTTTTTTATTGGTAATTGACAGTAATATTACAAACAGATGAACTGTTGACAATTTTCAAGGACAATTAATATATAAATAGTTAATATGTACCTTGTCACATTTGTTATTAACATGGTACTGTAGATTGGAACTCTAAAAATAGACAAAGCCGACAATTATTGGCATTACGCTATCCTGGATTTCAGTTGAAAGATGATCCCGAATTCAAAGAATTCCTAGATATACACAAAAACAGAAGCACAAAGTCCACATGGGGCAATGATACTGTGAACCTGAATGACAATCTCTCAAGGCAGCATGCAGCTGAAGCAAGCGATGAGGAACAGGAAGAGAGGGGAAGTAGTGAGGAGAGTGATGCTGAAGAGGAAGAGACTGAAGATATAAAAGGTGGGATATACCATAATCATTCACTGAAACAGACCAATTTTTTTTTTTTGCTTATCAAACATAGAATGTCCATAGTGAATACTGTGTTAATGAGTGTTTCTCCTAGTAACTAAGTCCAATTTAAGTATCTCTCTTTATATGATTTTGCATGTTTGACAAATTTATGGTGTTCTGATGTAGGAATACTATTGCATTTACAGAGCAATCTCCAGAGGTGTCAGAAAACAAAAATTCTGTCACGGTTGAGAACAGACAACTGTCAGATATGGAGGTAGGTTAACACTTACTGTAAGTTGTAAGCTGAGTATGTTATTATTTTATTATTTTCCCACATACCTCAAATTTATGAGAAAAATTATTTGTTATATTTAATAATTACATATGTCTTATGGTATGTTGTAAATGGGAGTCACCCAGTGCAAGATATCTAGATAAGTTAGAAGGAAAAACATACTGGCACCACAGTTATGTTTGGTGGTATGGACTTGGCCTGTGTGTGTGTGTGTGTGTGTGTGTGTGTGTGTGTGTGTGTGTGTGTGTGTGTGTGTGTGCGTGCGTGCACGTGCGTGCGTGTAAATAAATTTGATGACAAACTTTCTCATAGTTGTAACTTGTATATGTATATCCAGTGTCCTGTTTTTTGTCCTAGTACCTCAAATCCAAAATGAAGTCCAGTGGCTTGCTGAGTGATACAAGCTCCAGTGAGTCAGACACAGATGAGGATGAAGATGATGATAAACAGGAGGAAGAGGAAACAACAAGAGAAAACAGAGTGAGTGGAATTATATCAGTACAAGGTTGTGAATTTGGCTGAATCAGTTATCCTTAGTTATATGACAAAATGACAAGTAAAGTATGTTCTTTATATAGTCACAACAGATGTCAGGATTGTAGTCATTGAATGAATTGAGATTCTGCTATTTTATAGATGCAGCTGCGTAAGCTTTTCAGTGGTCATTATACATTTGAAGAATGATGGTTTAGATATTTGTTATACTTTTCAGAGCATGGATGCATTAGACTCTTCAGAGTATGTGGTAAAAATGAGAGGATTGCCTACAAACATAAAGGAGGTTTGTAAGCTTTTTATATTTGAGATAATATAAATATATTTGCACAATTTATGAAAATGTTTTAATGCTGCATCTTTTCTTCTTTTTATCTTCTACTTGTAATTGTTTTTATTATTGTTGTTGTTATTTAAATTTGTATTTTACAGAAACAGATCAAGGAATTTTTTACCCCGCTTGCTGTTAAATCCATACGTATACCCAGGAATGCAAAGAAAAGGACAATTGGTATGATTTAATCATCAGCATTTATGACCTGTGCATTTATGAACCTCACTCTGATGATTCCCTTCAAAGCACCTGGTGGCACCAGAGACAGCTGTCNGTGGTCAACAGTATAAAACTTACACCTGTTTCATTATCTCTGAAAATTTCCTGAGAGTTTTTACCATCTTAAGTTCTGGCCAATGCAAAAGATATCCACAAAATGTTTTAACTGAAACTGAATTTTATTTTTGTGCAGTTTTTTAATGCTGCAACAAATGAATGAAATTAATGTACCAACATGCATGAAAATTAATTTTCCCCTCTTTCAGGGGTAGCATTTGTAAGATTTGCAAAGGAGACTGACGTGGACCAAGCTTTAAGGAGAAATAAGAACTTCATTGGTATGTGTACAGATGGACATACCTATCACAAAGTAGAAATTATGTAAAAGTGTAGTCAAAATATTTGCTTGTTAAAAGAGTAAGTGTATTTGCATAAATATTATCATTTTTCTTTTCACACAATCAAGTTTTCATTTATTATATATCATATTGATAATATCTTTGTTTCATTATCTGGCCAAACCGAAATTTATGTAACAAATGGTACATCAGTTAAAATAATTTTGAACAAAAATGTTTTTCAATGATACTTTTTCATGTGTTCATACTCATAGCACCTCGAGTTTCAGAGTACTGATGCTGACATTTCTTTGCACAATGCAAATACTGCTAGAAATAATATAGGTATGTTTATAATACAAGTTCGCTTCCAGTAGTGAGACTCTGAAACTCATGGTAAAGTCTGTTGTGAAATGACAGTCATTGTCTTATTTGAAGGAGGAAAAAGAGTTCTCCTAAAAAAGCAACAAGAGAATGAAGAATCAGTCCAAGAAGAAGAACCGAGGCAATGGGAAGTAAAGGTATGACACTGAAACTTGTATAACACTCATGTCGATTCAAATTGTTGAGAAAATAAGATGTTTGGATACAACAAAGTTATTGTACCACCAGCGTAGGCGCTGGCGGTACACATGGTTTTAGTCCCGACCCGCATGTTCCGCCGGCTCCTCTGGCTCCGCCGCCATCTCACCGTTACCGCTTCTCCTCCTAGACGATAAGGGCCTCCATGCCCATCTCTTGGATTTAGGTCACCTATAATCTCAACTCGTTCCACGTAAAATTTGGGCTTTGTCGGAAGCGGGGTCTAGGTGTGGCACTCATTGCAATGCACCCTTGTCCAAAAATGGCAAAATTAAATGCTAATTATCTACCCTACAGAAGGAATTATGGGAAATTTTTCTACAGACGGCTTTCCAAAAGTCATATGTGTAGATTTCAAATATGCCCTTGGATTTGACCTTTGACCTTTATTTCAAGGTCAAACGGGCCAAAATTTTCAAAAAAACAATTTTTTACGAAAAAAAACCATTTGCGCTGTTATTCAGACACCACACAGACTGAACCAATAATATTATTGGAAAGTGTTACCCTTGGGGTCATCTTTCATCTCCGTGAATTTGGGGTCAATTGGTGCATGTTCGCGGGAGAAGCAGCCATAAGATACCGAAACTGAAAACTGTCTCTAATTCGGTTACCGTTAATGCTAGAGACCCATTCTTTTTTGCATTTTGTAGAGCATGTAAAGCCCAACACAGGAGGTAGCCTCCATTTTTTTGTATTCCATACGGTTTTCGAGTTGCACTGTATCAAAAAGTACATATTGGTGGTGAAAGCAAAATGTGCAGTACGGTAATGGATGATAAATTTTGAACTCTGGAAAAATAAAACTTAAGGCTTGGCAAAGCAGACAACTTCTGGTCAAAAATGACATTATTTCATGAAATTTGAACATCCGGAACTTGTGAGCACCTCCCATTTCAAGAATTTCAACCAAAATGACCTTTTCTTTATTTTAATTAATTTTTTTCTGTATGAAATTTATGGCACATTATTGTAATTCCAAAATTATAACATTTAGTCCCTTATATCTCCAAATCTGGCAGACATAGGTCCATAGTTACTATTGAAGTTGAACAGGAAGTCATATACTGGCAATCTAAATGTGACCTTGAAATTGACCTTTGACCTACTTTTCACCATGAACTGAACTTTGCAAATTTTGTTTCCCTTTTATCTCCAAAACTGGCAGAGATAGGTCCATAGTTACTATTGAACTTGAATAGGAAGTCATATACTGGCAATCT